AGGAGCAGCCTGGTTTAACCCTCTCCAGGAGAAAACCTAGCACAATATAATTTATCCAATTTCCTTTTGACCTAAAATTGTTAAATTCTTCATACTTCCCTCTCTATTACCATAAACACATGTTTATTAATATTTAAGAATATCATCAAATAACATTTTTAAAATCTAACAAATAAAAATTATTTCTGTAAAATGATGCCCAGAGAAATTCCATCTGTGATCCAAAGTGACATGAACCATTTTCTGTGTTTACCAAAATTGCTTCTGAGCAGGGTTCAGCATACTAAAGACTCTCTGAGCGATCTCAATCAGGAGTTGTTGTTGTTGTTGTTATGTGCCATCGAGTCATTTGCGACTCATAGCAACCCTATGTACAAGAGCCCCAAACACCGTTCTATCTTGTGCCAACCTCACTGTCTCAAACGCACTCATTCTTACCACTCCACTCACAGAATTGATCCATCTCATTGAGGGTCTTCTTCTCCTGCACCATCCCTCCACTCTGTCAAACAATATGTCCCTCTCCAAGGACCAGTCCCTCCTTGCAACATGCCCAAAATATGTCAGACGAAGCTTCAGAATCCTTGACTCCAAGGGGCATTCACGTTCTATCTGATGACTTCCTGCGTCACCAAGTAGAATACAAACACCATGAAGGCCGAGAGTTGGTCTTGCTCACCACTGCATCCCACAGGACCTAGAACAATGTACTTAACTAACTCGATTAAATGCAGAGGAAGTGAAGAAAGAAAATGTGAAAAAACAATGTTTTAATGGCTTTCATTTTAGAGAAGAAAGTAACTGGCGATTTGGAAACGTATAAGGCATACTTATGAAGCTTTCAACAAAAGTTCACAGTATTGGCATATGTCGGGTTATCATTTTAATGAAATAATAGTCTGTCAGGCCAAAATGAATACATTTTCAAGATTTTGGAGTTCTCCCTCCAGTTGAAGTATCATTTTATCCCTTAAACAGCTTATAAACAAAGTGCTAGCTCCAATTTATAAAGAAACAACATAGTTCCTAGTCATTGCTTTACCAGCAAGTTAGGATTCCCAAACGATGCATAATAACTTACGGTATTTTTGTTTTATAATTACCATACTTTAAACAGACCACGTTACCCCAGTGTTTAATTCAGCTTAAGTTAAAGGGTTTTTATTGTATATTTTATTTTACCTCTTTGAGTTGCACTAAATGTTACAAGGCAATTCATTAGTAATTAATCATATTCTCTTAGGATTTATTAAAATGGCAGAGGGCTGAGTTCTTCTTAGAGTTAAGCTCCAAGTAAAGTAACTGCTTAAATTATGGCATGTAAAGAAAAGAAATAAACTTGAAAGTTCTTTTTTTTTTAAGTTGTTTGGGTGTGGGTTTAGAAAATCAAAGAAGTTTTTGTTTTGAAGGTATAATTTTAGGGGGTTTGCTTTTGTAAAGAATAAAATATAAACCTACCTGAGTATTAGGCATGGGGATAGCACACAGTATCTAGGCAATACTGAGAACATATTGTTTTGTGGGTTAAGAGTACAAGCATGCTCAGATTTTTATTCTAGGCCAGTAGCCAGGACATTTTCATTTTGTAAAAGTAGCAAACTTTTCTAAAATACAGATGATAATAATAATACCTACATCTTAGCATTCCAATGGCAATTAAAAGAGATGATATCTATTTGGAACTTAGTACTAAGTCATCAATAAATAATGGTATTTCTTCATTTAAGACTACCTCCCTCCACATTCTCTTTCATGCTGCCTTTGACTGGCCAAGTTAGAGTTAAATAACCATCACATAATTTGTTCAACTGGCATAGTATGTGGCGAAGCCTGTATATGCCCATTTACCTGTATGTGTGTTGTGGTTTTATTGGTGTGTTGATTTCTGGTTTCCGTGAGTTTGGGATTACATTCCTACCCTGCCACAGATGACCAGGGGATGATTTTCAAGGGAATGAATCTCCTTGTCCAGTTCCAGTCTCTCGCTTTCAGAAGACTTCTCCCTTCTCCTCACCACTGAAATGGCAACCTGGCATCATAATCAGCTCAGGTCTATATCTAGCTCAGATATTTCTATTTCCAGGTCTGCCAATAGCTTAGGCAAGTCACTTGACTTTTCTCATTCTTAAAGTCCTTTTTTGGTAAAAGATGGATTTGGGCCAATATCAGAACATTATATCAGGAGAGAGAGAGAATGAGAATCCTTCACGTAGAACCAAATTCTACTGTCTTACCAAGAAGATTTTCAGAAGAAAGTCATGCAATTAGAAGTCTTTGGATGCATGAATACATTTATGTGCATATTCCTGCTGAGATATTTATTTTAAAAAACTTAAAATATTTTCCTCATCAGCATGTACTAATCAAATTAAAGATTTAACTATTGTCTAAATACTTGTTGTTGCTTGTATCCCGAGGCTGCCCGTGTCATGACAGCAAACTGGATCATTCAGCAATTACAATTGTAGTTCAATATAATTCATTATAGAAATAAAAACGTCAAAGATTATTTCCACCAAAGTTGAATCAAGAAACTAGGGCATTATAAGAAAATGCTGACAAAAGCAAAGCAACTCTGTCAGTCGCTTCTATGGCTTGAGTAAGGTTTGAATCATACCTAATTCCCCTTAGCCAAGCAAGGACCCTCACTGCTGACTCATCACTGTAGTCATAAACACAGATACAGCTTATACGTTGGACTTCGAATCATGTGGCCTGCTATTGGCAAATCTCGGATTTCTCCGCGCTAGATGATTCTCAAAGACAAATAGCCTACGATTCTAAGTGACAGATTATTCATTTTCTCTTCTTGGTTCTCTTTAAAAATAAAGACAGCTCTTGAAGAATATAAAGCAATTACCTGCTTGCTTTATCACTGATAACCTCACTCAGTCTCAAATATGTTATCTTTGAGCATTGAGAGCAAAGTCAGATTTTCTAACTATGAACACAAAAAATGCAAAGTGTACAGGGAATATTAATAACACTTAAGAAGGAACTTTAGATTGGGAAAGAAGAATGTATTTTTATTTTTCTCAGTCAGAAGTTGGAACTAAGCCATAAATGTGTGAGTTCTGTGAATTCTTTGCATTTTCCTGCTAGTTATTTAGGGGGTATAGGATTCTATCATTCCAGTGTATAAAAAAATAAAAGCTATGATAGCTTCCCTATCAAAAGAAATGGAAATTTCTCAATCTGTCATTCAAAATCCTTTGCAATCTAGTCCCAAATGTGGTTATTTCATCTTCTCTGCACACTCCTACGACCTCAGAGGTTCACATAACATCCTAATTGTTGTGTGCCGTTGAGTCAGAACCAACTCATAGCTGAGCATCCAGCAGACCTTTCAGAGGCAATAAATTACCCAGAAGAACACTGCCCATTCTTATCCCACAGACCAGCCAATGGATTTGAACCATGTGCCTTTGGTATTGCAGCACAGCTTCTTACCACTAGGCCACCAGAGCTCCCTAAGAGATCCTGTGTTTCCCCACATCTCATTGTTCTTTGGAAGCTCTAGCGGCAGAGTTGGTAGGGAGCCGTCCTGCTAACCCAGAGGCTGCGCCTCTTCGGTGGTTTGAATCCATGGACAGTCTCCTCCCGTGCAATTGACCCGGAGACCCCCTGCAGGGTCAGTTATGAGCTGGTCACTTTTATTTAACAACAGTGGATTTGAGTTTGAGACATCTTGGCTTAGCCTGCCCCTTCTCCCTTGTTCCTGTCCAGTCAGCCTGAAAAACTCCTCTCTGTTCTCTGAGTTCCAACTTAAAGTTGCCTGTCTTCAGAAATCTGTCCCTCCTTTTTTTGGGCAGGAACTGTCTCCCTGACCATGGTCCCATACGCAGCACTGTAAATGGCACATTATTCACACAGAATTATAGTTCTTGCCCTCAGTTCTCCTTTTACCCCTACTACCCTCTCTGGATTGCCCAAAGTATGATTCTGGGAAGGGTGGAGGGTCAGCGAAGGAGAGGAAGACCCTCAACCAGGTGGACTGACACGGTGACGGCCGCAATGGGCTCTTGGCGCAGGATAGAACAGAGCTCAGATCTTTCGTTCATAAGGGGCTCCATGAATTGTATTCAACTCAGTGGCACCAACAACAGCAACAACAACCCATTCTGGAGTGAGGATCATGTTTTAATTTTTAATATATGCAAGGCAATCCTCTGGTTCTGAACGAGACTAGGTCCAAATTGTATCTTTAAGTCTAATTTGTAGGTAAGTTGCAACATGTATGTATAGTTCTTCTTTAGTCTTACTTTAATGCAAGGAAAAGGCTCAGAACCTTGTCAATGATTTAAAAGCTGTACATGCAGGAAGTGGAGATGTTTGTGGTGGAGAATTTATTACAAGTAGGGGTTGGTTCAGTTGTTTTAAAATGAGGGAGAACTGTATTTCAAATGAAAGGGTAGGTAGGAGTGGGCATTGAGTTGGGGGTTTGTAATGTAGGATCTTGTGATATCTTGGGATCCAGAATAGCACATCTGGGTAGCACAATGGTTATATGATCAATTATTACCTGAAAGGTTGACAGTTTGAGTCTACCTAGAGGAACTCTGGATCTACTTCAGAAGCATCACAACCACTGGAAACTATGGAGCACAGTTGCACTGAAACAGGTAGTTGGCAAGACTTAGAACTGGTTCTATGGCAAATGGATAACTGGTTTAGCTTGCAACTGGAACATAGTGCAGCCTTAATACCAGCTTGCCAGAATGAAGAGAAGCACACTTACATATGTGGCAGTAAGAATATCCGGATCCTGATGGAAGTATGCTGTATTTTAATTTAGTGTATATTATTGGGAAATACAAAAAAGGAGGATATGAAATTCACCCATAACATTTCTTGTTCTGAGTTGACCATGTTGACACCATTTAGTACACATATTTCCACTGAGGTGTACTTTGAAAAGTATCTTGAGTACTTAAAATTGGAAAATGATCTCCACGGCCTAAAAGACTATTCAGCTTTTGACTTGACTGTTTCTTCCTTAGCTCACAGAGAGAATAGTCATCCTCTTCGTGGTCATCACCAGTCAAGAGGAAATCCAAGAGAAATATGTGGTGTGTGTTTTATTCATCTTTTGGAATCTGTTGGATATGGTTAGGTAAGACATCAAAATAATCTCTTGAACTAAAGCCAAATTGCCTTCTACAATGAAGCCAGTAATAGCTGCTTACATTTGGTTATTCTGAATGAGACAAAAAAACATAACCCCTTTTCAAATTATTTTATCTTGATATGGAAATGTATTTTTAGTGCTTTCCATAATGGGCATATCAAAGATAATGAAAACCTACCATGATTTTACAAGAGCAAATCAGTGCATTGAGGATTCCAGCAGAAGGTTTGGCATAACACCAACTTGGAATAAGCCTCACAGCTGTTTGCTAATGAAAGGCATGCCTCACGATTGCTTTAGGACATGTTACTTTAACAAGAGAGCCAGGCTCTTTGGTTTTTTCATATTCAGAATGCTCAAACTTGGTTTCTCTGAATTCCTAAATATTTTAAATGAAAGACCACGCAAAAAAAAAAAGCGCTCACAAACTATTTTGTATGTGATAACAACAGCAAAAATCCTAATTGCTGTGGTCCAAACTGACTCACCGCTGACCCTCCGGCCGGTTTTCAGTGGCTGTAAATCACACAAGAGGAGCAGCTGGTGGACTTGAACCTCCTGCCTTTGGGTTGGCAGCCTTTCCAGTAGGTCACCAGAACTCCCTCTATGATTACAGTGGGTTCAGATGACTAGCTGAAATCCTTTCATGAACCCCCCAGGGATTCCTGGACCTTACGTTAAGAAATCTGGACCTTGAGACCAGCCTTTGGGTCAAACAGTGCTCTTTGCTCAGTGACTCACTTTTAGCATTCACAAATGGAGACTGTTGGACCCTTGTGGGCGATGTGATAGGCAGAGGCACAAAAGAGTTTTCGGTTTTTAAGCTCGAGTTCTGTAAATTCTGTATTTATTAGATTTCTAGTCACTTAGCTAGATTATAAAAGTTTCTAATGTTCAGTCTAAACTTTGAGCCCAAATGTGAATTAGAATAATTTCTTGAAGTAAAATGGTGAATGTAAAATTACTTACATAATCTTTCTTGTTTAAGTGATATCATAGATTTGGCCTAAATTCATGGACTTTTGTTAGCCTATGACTTCTTATTCAAGACACTGATCCTATTTGTGGGATTGGTGTTTTTTGTTCTCAAGAATGCTTGGCTCAGTGTCTGTTCAGTCTCATATGAGCTCAAGAGAATCCTGGGACACAGTACTTCTTTAGGGTAGGATTTGAGCTTCGAGAGTGATAGCATCATATTATGTAAAGACATTTGAATGTTAAGATACTTGAATGTGGAGGTAGAATATTTCAGGATGAATCCTATTGCCACTACTTTCTTGCATTGTGACCTTGGTAAAATTCCCTAATCTATTTGTCTATATGTATGTGTGTCTATGATAGATTTATTAAAGTATAATTCATAGACAGTCCCTGGTTTACCAATATCTGACTTACAAACACCTCCTACTTGCCCTTTAATGTTATATAAATTTACCCTCATTTTAAAATAATTGAACCAACTCCTACTTGCAACAAGTTCTTTGTCACAATCACCTTCTCTTGCTGCACGTGCAGCTGTTAAATCACTGAAAAGGCTTCAGGCCTTCAGACCTTTCCTTGCACTAAAATGAGGCTAAGAACTCCACACCTGTTCCACCTTCTCTACAAATGCGATTTTAAGACACTGAGGAACTGACCTCCTTTGACACCTGGGATTTCTAATTACCATAACATTCACTGTTTATTTTTTCTCTTTTAAAAATATTTTTATTGGTTTTCATATCATAATTCCTTTACATTATGTTTCACTCACATACACTGTGTTTTATACAGTATTTTATTTACATTATGTTTCATACAATCCTTCATATGTATTCTATTTTACATTAGTTTTGAAACTTATAAAAAATATTTTTTTATTTTTCTACTAGTTTCTTTACTAAATTCAAATACAAATTTGAACAAATTCTTTCAATTTCCCTTACCCTCCTTCCCATCAAATTGTATAACCCAATGGTTAATTCCGTCCTTCCCGCTGCACATCCACATCCCTCTGCTTCCAGCCTCTCCCACCCCTCCTGGATCCTTAGACTCATTCTACAATAATGGTTTTATACAATATTTATCCTTATGTGACTGAGTTCGTTCACTCAACATAATGCTCTCCAGTCCCTCCCAAGTTAGGTAATAATTTACAAAGTTCTTGCTCCTGAGTGCTGCATAGTATTCCAATAGAATACTATACAATAGATTTGTACACCAATGTTCACAGCAGCATTATTCACCATTGCAAGAACATGGAAACAGATCAGATGTCTAACCATAAACAAATGGATTGAGAAATTATGGCACATTCAACTCTCACTCTTTAAAAGTGTGTAATTTATGTTTCTAGGATATTCACAGAATTGGGCAACCGTTGTCGCTATCTAATTTTAGAACATTTTTATTCTCCCCTACCCCCACCAATCCTCTTACTCATGGGCAGTCTTTCTCTCTCCCTCACCCCCGATAACCACAACTCTCCTTTTAGTCTCTAAGCTTCTTCTTGTCCGGATGTTTGATTCCATATCAATTGCACACAAGCCCTTTTGTGTTTACCTTCTTTCACTTAGCACATTTTCAAGGTCCATCTATTTTTATGGCTGAATAAGATTGTATTGTATCAATATGTTATATTTGGTGTATCCATTGATGGACATTGTGGTTGTCTGTATTATGGATAATGGTGCTATGTGCATCTGTGTATAAGCTTTTATATGAAGTTTTTGTCAGAGTTTTTGTTTTTGTTTTTGTTTTTTAGTATGTACTTAGGAATTCTTCTAGGTCATATAGCCCTGGTCTGTGCATTGCTGTACAGAGATAACTCGTGGTTGCTGTGAAGCTTAACCCTGTGACACTGATGCATCAAATGTGATAATGGTTACCCATGGCGGACAATGTTTGGTGGAGCTCCCCGATTAAAACAAGCTTGGAAGCAGGAGTGGCATCCACTTCTGAAATAGCTTACCTCCAGAAACCCTATGAACCTGGAGAAAGGATGGAAGTTATACGAGCATTCAAGTCTTTCATTCAGAGGGTCGCTATGAGTTGCCTACGACTCAACAGCACTTAACAACAACTTAGGAATTGATGATGTTGGTGAAGATGATGTGCTTAATTCAGGCCAGTCTTTCCAATCACCTGCTGTGCCTCTGGAAATTGGACAATGAATGGATGACAGAAGAATAATCAATGCATTTGAGTTGTGCTGTTGAAAAAGAGTGCTGAATGTCCCATGGCTTGCCAAAAGAACAAACAGATGTGGGTTAGAGAAAGTGCAACCAGAATGGTGCTTGGAGGCATAGTTTATGAAGCTTTACCCACAGGTTTTAGACTATTCTTTGGAAAGGCTATTCTGTGGAAAAGGACATCATCCTTGGAAAGGTAGAGGCCAAGAGGCCAAGAAAGGAGAGGAAGACCTGAGTGAGACGAGCTGATGCAGTGTCTGCAGCAATGGACTCAAATGTGTCCGGGAAGATGAGGGTGGTGCAGGATAGGACAGAGTTCAGCTCTATCGTTCATGGGGTCGCGTAAGCCGTACTCAACTCGATGGCACTTACCAACAACAACCACCACCTAGAAGTGGAACTACCAGACACTTAACCTTTCAAAACTCAGATTTGTCCTCTATAAAGTAGGGATATGATTGCTTCCACTTAGTTTTAGCAAAGGCTTACAAAGCAAATACATTATTTTATTCAACCATTTAGGCACATTTTGTTCTGTAATATTACCTTCAGTCCTCACAGTGTGATCACCCTTTTCCCATTTCCTGCCTTTAAATCTGACTTATATTAACTCTCCGCATCTCCATCTGACTTTTCCTTCTTTAGTGATACTGTACTGATCCTCCCCTTATGGCCTTTCCTTCAAGTAAATACGTCTGTTATCTGTTTACTGATTTTTACCCCCTTCTCTTTTTATCCCAGGTAACCATCCAACAATGATTCTTTCCATGAATAAACATTTCTTTAGCTTTTTACATGAGATTTATACAATATTTGCCTTTTTATAACTGACTTATTTTACTCAGCATAATCTCTTCTAGATGCATCCATATTATGCAGTATTTATACAATTCTTTAGTCTTTTCAGTGTTACATAATACCTTGTTATGTGAGTGTATCAGGGTTTTTTTTTAATTTTTTTTTTTTTAGTTTCTTTATCCATCCATCCATCAATGGTACTACATCACTTTGCTGTGGCAATGAATGCTTCAGTGAACACGAGTGTACTTATATCTTTTCCTGTCACAGCTCTTACTTCTTTAGGAGAGATGTTTTAGTAGAGCCAGTGTACCTTTTTATCATTAATCCTTGACTATTATCTTCCAAATTGACTCTTTTCTCAGGCTCATTAAAAGTGTTCTAACATTTGAAAGTTGACTTAATCATACCTTCTCCTCCTCATATGTAAGCTTTTCCCTTTCTTCTTGAGTTTATAGCCCAATACTTGTGAATGGCTTTTACATTCCAGAGGCTGGAATTTATGAAGAAGGATGTGGCATCAGAATTGGAGGAAGACTCATCAACAGCCTGCATTTTGCAGGTGATACAACCTTGCTTACCAAAACTTGAAGTGCTGGCTGCAGAAGGTCAAGGGCTGTAGCCTTCACTATGGATTGTATCTCAACATCAAGAAAGCAGAAATCCTATAAGCAGCAGCATGAAAGATGGAGAAAAAAATTGAAGTTGTTCATGATTTCATCTTACTCTGATCCACAGTCAACACCATTGGCACCAGCAGTCAGGAAATCAAAAGACGAGGTGCACTGAGATCTGCTGTCAAGGATCCCTTTAGAGTGCTAAAGAGCAGTGATGTCACACTAGAGACTAAGATGCCATGGTCCAGATTCAGGCCCAGATCTTCTCAGTTGCTTGCTATGAATCTAAGAGTAGATGACAGAAGAAGAATCAATGCCTTTGAGTAGTGGTGCTGGAGAAGAGTATTGCATATACACCATGGCATGCCAAGAGAAAAGACAAGTCTGTCCTGGAGAGGATGAAACCAGGTTGCTCCAGGAGGCAAGGATTGATTTCAAAGTTCATTTCACATACTTTGGGAATGTTGTCAGGAGAGACCAGTATTTGGAGAATGGCATCAGGTTTGAAAGGGAGGAGGGACAGTGCAGGAAAGGAAGACCCTGGAGGAGATGGACTGACACAGTGACTGTGGCAATGGGGTAAGGTGTGTCGGAGACTGTGAGACTGGCTCAGGACAGGACAAGATTCAAAGCCTTGCTTCATAGTGTCGCTATGAGTTGCAGTCTCAGCAGCACATAATAGCAGCAATCTGTGAAGAGCTTTTCTCTGACTCTTGCCTGACCCTCTTAGCGCAGGAGCCGTGGCTGCTTTCTCGTTGCACATGATGTCAGACTCTCTTTTCTCCCCTCAGTCTCCAAGTAATCATACTGCCTGATTTTTCTAGTTAGAAGGGAGCTGTGCTACCAAGTCAAAGGTAGACGGTTTGAATCCACCAGCTGCTCCGTGAGAGTAAGCTAGACATCTCCTCCCATGCGATTTATAGTCTATGAGAACTCACCGGGAGCTCAGCTATGGGTTCGTTCAGACTCCATGGTAATAAAATTGAGGGTTTTGTTGTTGTTGTTTGGGTTTGTTTCTTCATTTACATGCAAACATTATCATACTAATCAACACTGTTACCTAATATGAAAGTCCATTTTTAATTTTCAGAAAAAGAGTTCCAGAAAGAGGTAAGCCTTGCTCAGTGAGCAGAAAATGACTTTATGAAATTCCAAGCACTCAAAGGCTCGATGTAGCTTGATTATTTTTAAAAGATGTCTCTTTGGCATTTTTCTGGTCCCTCTGTCAGCGAGGTCTCCTGTTACCATGGCAGGTCTCGGCTGGCGAAGCCTTTTTCTGCTGTCTATAGTAGTGTCTTATTCAGCCACCTTCATTTACACCTTGAAGACACTTAGTCTGAGACCTTTTTCCCAAGAGCACTGAAGAATCATCATGTTTTGCTCCATAAAGATGGGATTTCTGAGGGGGAAGCTTTATTATTCCCCTTGGAGGAAACACAATGTGTTCTTCAGCCCTCAGTTTTATGCATTGCATCCTTGATTGGAAAAATATCAAAAAGCCAGATAACACACCATGTGGATGAAGGCTTGAATACTGGTAGACAGGCAAGATGGTGCAAACGATTTTGAAGGAAAATGGAAATATTTTTTCAAAACTTTAAATACATGTTCCTTTTGATCAGTTCATACTACCCTGAGAATTTATTTTACCAACAGACAGATGTAATTACACATGTGTACTAAGAAATATCCACTCGGAATTTTTGTATGAGCCAAAGACTGGAGATACTAAATGTTCGGTGGGGCCCAGCTGAAGTGAATTATGACATATTTCCATACAGAGGGAGCCTTTTGGGCAGCTGCATAGTCTGAGGTAAATCTATATTTACCTCATTGTCATTTAATAATCTTCTAAGATATATTAAACAGAAGACAAGCTGCAGGACAGTGTAGCTAGTATGTTATGCTTATGAGATTAAAGGGGTGCTCTGTGTACATAATCTATACATTAGTTTAGTAAACTGTGCTGTAATCCCAGAGGCACTCAGCTTCTCTGTAGGAGAAGGATACGCAGTCTCCTCCCATGTGATTTACTGCCTTTAAAACCTGTTGGGGGGTCAGCTATGAGTCAGTTCTAGCTTGACAACACACAAAACAATAACAACAATATACATATAATTTTGTTTTAGTGTTTTCAAAGGAATATATAATAATCTAGTATTGATTCTTGCCTCTGAGATATAGAGCTAGGGTCCTGGAGTGATAGAAAGATTTACTTTTCTCTATTCATGGCTCTGTTTATCTCTATAATGATCCATGATTCATTCTACAAAATATGCCTGATTCCCATTGTCCCTTCATTTAAAAAAAAAAGACCAAACCCTTCTTTTCCTGCTTAAATGATAGGAAGTATGTGTTCTGCATACTTTTCTATTTGTTTAATTCTATTCATATATTTACTTGCACAGTAAGGTATTGCCTTTTCCTGGTATTTCCCAGAAATCATCAGCAAATGATGTCTGTGAGCTCGCTGTCTTCTTTCAGGTACACCCACAGCATGCTGTCCGTCATAGGCATCTCCTACTCCGTCTTGACGTGGCTCAGCCAGACGCTCTGGATGCCCGTCTATCCTCTGTGTGTGCTCGCCGAAGGTAGGAGGACAGAGATTGGCTTGATTGCTTACCGACGAATGAAATCTGCCTATAAAGTTCATTACATTTTTCTGGTGCTTAAGTTTCTGCTTTTGCTATTGTTTATCTCACACAGTGAACCCTTCCTGGCATCTGCGCCTTGATGCAAAGACACAAAGGTGTGAGGAAGCAAAGTTAGAAGGGAAGCAGATAAAATAATGCACATGAGATGAGGGCAGCTGAGTCCTGGTCTAGAACTTCAGTAACTCTGGTACAAGTTTTTTAATGCATCTTTTAACCTCTCTGAGCCTATTTACCAACCAAAAAAAGGAGTTTAGCATTTATTGACTTGATGGTTTTAACTTTAATGCGTAGGAATTCCGTTGAGGCTGCTTCAATATGCTCCCAGCTAGTATCAACTGGCTTCACACTTTCTAACTTTACGCCCAACATCAGAAACAATCTGAGAAACAATCTGTGGCTCCTCAGCTAAGTCAGTTTTCCCTTCTACAGTTACACAGGGCCAATCTCAGTTCTGATGTTTGTATGATTCTCTGAGTCGTGCCTGTTCTCCTGACTAGCCTGAATCTCCACGTGGATGTGGAGACCATCTTTGTCAGCCCTTGGCTTCCTCTCCTGCACTCAATATGCATGCTCCGTAAATATTGAATGGATTACTGAGCAAAATATGAAGCAGAATAATTCTGTGGCTTAAATGTAAACCTAAAACTTAGTTTAAAAAAATCAAATCAGTAAAGTCATCAATTTGAGAAGAGCTTGAGGATATTTGGGGGAATACTTGCTGCCTTCTGTAATGGATTTGGCAGCATGGTAGAGCGCTTTCTGGAACAGAAATGATCAAAGTTTTTGAAGCTGAAAGCATGAAGAAATTAAGAAAGCATGTTAAGGTAACTAAGGGAAAACATAAGGACCCAGATTTAACAGAACATGATGGTGATGTTGGCAATCATTGTGGAGCATATGAAGGCCAGGACATAAATTACAGCCACATGTTCGTATCTGTTGATGACCTGACAAAAGAAAGGCGCTTAAAGGAAATCAACAGAGATAGAGGGAATGCTTCGATTTACTTTTAAAAGGAAGCATTATTAAATTTTAGAATAGACCCTATCAAGAGATTCTAGAGAACAATCTTGAAATCCGTAAGAAACTGATTTCTCACTTGAGAAGGAAAGCCCTCATTCACTGCAGCATTTACTAAGTATGACCCTTTGTTCTACTCTGAAAAATAAGGAATTTATAAAGGGACAGGTAGAGAGAGTACTAATGCCTTCCTAAATGTCAGGGATGAGTAAAGGGATAGTGAACATTTCCTCTCTAGTCATCCCGTAATTCCAGGTGTCTCTTTTCTGGAAAGACCATATTTCTATAGGTTTGCCATACAAAACATTTTCTTCTATAAAATCACATGCTCTTAAAAATCAGGAATATGCAGAAAAGTCTGGATGCACATGTACTAAAATGCCAATAATGATTAATTCACGGAAGTAGAATACAGGTGACAGCGTTCTATCTTTACAGTTAACACACATAGTTTAGCCTTCAGCCACCAACTGAAAGCTTGGTGGTTTGAATCTATCCAAGAGAACTCAGAAATCTAATTTTCTAACATCTAGATCTGCAAGATCCCATCCAATATCAACTTTAAGGGGCTCTGCCCTACTTACATACATAGAATATACGTACATACGTAGTGTTTCATGAGTTGAAACTGTCTCAGGAGCAACTGATTTTTGAGAGATATATGTAATATTACAAGGTATAATAACAGTCAGATTAGGAAAATCTACTCAGCGGAAGATAACTCTACTTTCTTTTAGTAATTTCCCATCTGATAAATATAAGACAAAAAGCAAGTTTATGCAAAGGACCAAACAGTGAGCTGTACTGCTGCAAAGCTGGGGATCTGGTGCATCCCCTGGAATTCGGAGTTGGCGGGCAGCTCCCGCACCATTGCTCCTACCCCTGCGTTTAGATTCTGCAGCTCCCTGAGAGCGGTCCAGGGGCTGCTGCAGAATTGTCTTCTATCTCTTTTATAATAAACTTTTAATTTTTAAATAATTTTAGGCTCATAAGAAGTTGCAAAAAAAATAGTACAATGCCCAGCTTATCCTTATGGCGTCATCTTCCATAATGGTGTTTGGTTTTGTGCGCCATCAAGGCGGAACCGACTCATAGCTGACTCTCTAGTGGGTTTCCAGGGGCAGCAAATCACACAGGAGGCGACTGCCCATCCTTGTCCAGTAGAGCAGCTGTTGTATTCGAACCATGTGTCTTTAGGATTCCAGCACAACTTCTTTTTTTTATTTTACTTTTTATTATTTTTTGCACTTATACCATCAAATCAGATCTGACTGGTACAGGAGGAGATTGTCCCTCCTTTTCCAGCAGAGCATCTGGTGGATTTGAACCACATACCTCTGGGATTGCAGTGCAGCTTCTTGCCAGTAGGCCACCAGAGCTCCCTCCAGCACAACTTCTTAACCCCTATACCACCTGTGTCCATTATATACAACCTGAATCTATTGTCGTTTCATTTCATGAACTATTAGCAAAGCTATCCAGGGGATAAACTTCCTTACAACTGTCATCTTTTTTTTTTTTTTTTTATCTGACATGAGCTTCCTCCACCAAAATAATCTGGGATGACATTTCTCCCAGTGTTCCTTAGAATTTTTAGTGAGTTCTAGTGGACGTAGAATGGGAACTCTGACAGCTTTAAGTGGCAAGGAGTTGCACTGCCCACCCAAAGGCAAACAATTCAAATTCTGCTGTGTGGGGAAAATGTGGAAATCTCCTGTGTGATTTACAACCATTGAAAACTCACTGGAAGGTCAGTTATGAGCCCACATAACAACAGCAAGTCAGGAGAGGAAGGGAGCTCTGGGAGCGTAGCCCACAGGGAATTGGCCTAAAAAGTCAAAGGTGAGCCCTCTCGGGTGGCTGGATACATCCGTGGCTCCGTTAGAGAAAGACTGGGCCGTCTCTGCCTTGTGATTTACAGCCTCTGAAAACCCTGCCAGAGCGTCAGCCAAGTCTTGGTTCTTACTCAACGGCACTGAGGCTTTTTACTGGATAGTGGGAGGGAAAGGAGGGGATCCTTAAATTCCGAAAAGAAAGAATCATCAGGCGCATTTTCCTAACTCATTTGTTCGTCAACCCTATTTGTAGCTAAGAAGATGAATTGTTGGGTTTTTTTTACAGATTCTATTTTAAGAAACACTGTATGCTATTTCTCTGTAACAGAGATGCTGGACATAAATTCAGCAAGTCACATTGTTATAATAGCCTTGCTAATTTAGTCATGCAGTAAATTTCCATATCAAACTGTGGTGGTAGCTGAAGGATTTAGCAGTTGCCATGAAACTACGAATGCCAGACTCAAAACATCCCTGAGCTGTGGACTGAGGCAGATTGCTCTCCAACAAGTTACAGAAGCTTTTCTGTTATTTTTTTGTTAAACAGCATTTGCCATTTACCAATCGCTGCCTTATTTTGAATCATTTGGTACCTACTCCACCAAGCTGCCCTTTGACTTCTCCATCTATTTCCCGTATGTGCTGAAGATATATCTCATGATGCTCTTTATAGGTAAGTTGTTTGTTTGCGTTCTTTGGTTTTGATCTTACTTTTGCTTTTACCTGAGCTTTTTAGTTTGTGCGGCCATCTACTTTAATGGCCAAGACTGTGACTATGGGTGAGAATGAAGATTCTAGAAGCCTGACACTAGATTAACTAGATCTTTTTGGAAATTATGCTTTTTATGGCTCAGCAGGAAATCAAATATGTCATTATTTTATGCACAAAATAAGAACAATTTTCCCAACAGAAAAATACAACTTTATTATGTACAGAACATAGTACTAACACTGGACAGGGATATATATCTACAAACAAAACATTGATATCAAACTAAGTATGCTTGGGTGTTTCTGGTCTTTCCACTGATGACTATTTTGTTTCCTGTTCATTTGGAATGTTGCTAGTAATTCTGAATAAGCAAATGTAAGTTTGTGCTAAAGACTCAAGAAAAAAGCATAGAAGAAACCCTAACAATTGACTTCACATCAAAGCCAGAGAGTCTGTGCCCCATTCCCAAATGAGAAATCCACAGGTTTTCTAAAGACAATTTATTTGTTAAAAAATAAAAAAAAATCAATCACCATTGGAATATGCTTTGGTTACCACCATCCTGTCTCTTCTGGTCCCCACTGGATCTTTCTCAGTTCCTTCACCCACTCCCCCACCCACCATATTGTGCAGCCCTGCGATTTCATCTCTGCCCAGCCTCACTCTTCTGCTCCCAACCCTCACCCCTTGAATCCTCATACATGTTTTCCACAATAAAAAACAAAGAACAGTCTAACAATTGAGAACACATTATAAATTTTTACTAGAAAATAGGAATTCTTAATCTTAGTTCCCAAGCATTGTCACAAATCTCCATGATGTTTATCTCTAGAAACTAACAGACATATAAGATCATGGTAAGACAGAGGAGAAAATATGAGACTTCACAGAGGGTGGGCAGACACACCTCAAAGAAGGAAGATTCCTTACATTTTTTAACTTAAAAGGTGGAGGAGTTTGCTTTACCTTTCTCTTTGTAGAAAATCAATCTGAGAACCAACCTCCACCTGCCACCAGGAGTCCACCTGTCAGTTTTATCCTTGGATAAGACCTCCAGTCGTGGAGTCTGCCTGTGGGTCTTGTCCTTGGAGTCCAGATGACACTCTAAGTGGATTTCACTGTTAGGAATCTTTCTAGGGAAATGCTTACTCATCCTTCTTTTTGCCATTTCCTTCTCCATGTTAGGAATGTATTTTATCTACAGTCATCTGTACTCAGAAAGAAGAGATGTCCTTAGAGTCTTACCCATCCAGAAGAAGAAAATGTGAAGCCCTGCTTTCCTGTGTGGCCAAGAAAGGACAGGCTTACCGATTCCGCTGCAGAAAATCCAACAGAAGGAGCCTCCTGGTGGGAAAAATCTGCATGGGACAAACAAGTGCAACAGGAGATAATCGCATTGCCCTCACTCACTCCAGCTATGCCGCTGTGTTTCCCTCAAACACTCCAGCCATGCTGCTGTATGTGTTTCCCTCAAACACTCCAGCCATGCCGTTGTATGTGTTTCCCTCAAACACTCCAGCCATGCCGTTGTATGTGTTTCCCTCAAACACTCCAGCCATGCCGCTGTATGTGTTCCTCACAAACTGTATTTTGAAAGATACACTTTGTACAAGTTCTTCACTAAAGCTGTGGATGTCATACAAGTTACATTTATGTGGTGTGATGCCTGATTATTTTCCCATAACCTGAAAAAGATCAAACTCACTGCCAGTTATTTGATAAGGTAAATAAAAAATAGAAGAGCAGAGAAGATTTAGTTTGACTGGGAGACTGATGCTGGTAACCTCACCTCTCCATCATACCTGATGGGGAAGGCATACATGTTATTTCTTTTCAGGAACAGGGTTACCAAATTGTAGCTGATGCCACTGTCTACATAGCTAGTAATTCAGTACCCACCATAAGCATTAGACACAATTAGAAAATATTTTTCTCTCAACTCAGAAAGATAGTATCACATAAGTTATTTAGGTTTTAATATGTTAAAACAAATTTAATATGAAGAAAACAGATTATAAACTCTTGGAACATAGACTAATAATGCCCCTTATCCTTTCATTTTAAGATCAGCTCATATATATCACTTACAGGGAAACAAAAGGTACAGAATTATAATAAATTGTCTATAATAGGTAAGAATACTAAGAACTAGTATTTTAGATTATTTATTAATGAATTCTTACTTCTAATCACTACCAAACTCATCACTTGCTTTGAAGACTATTCCTTTCCTTGAAGCTCTAAAAACAGTTGTGAATAACTAATAAAATGAATTGTCTCATCAGTGTACCTTACATTCACTTTTCCTGAAAGAATTATTAGAGATTATCTAGTATCTATATATAAGGATCCAGGCCATAGTCTTTGCAATCACTTGCTATGCATCAGAGAGCTGGACAATGACTAGAGATGACAGGAGAATTGATGCCTTTGAGCTGTGGTGCTGGAGAAGAGTATTGAATATACCATGGATGGTTAGGAGAACAAGTGCGTTCATCCTAGAGAGGGTGAGACCAGGCTGCTCCTTGGAGGCAAGGACTCTGAAGCTTCATCTGATATACTTTGGACGTGTTGCAAGGAGGGACCAGTCTTTGGGAAGGGACATCATGCTTGGGAGGGTGAAGGGACAGCGCAAGAAAGGAGGACCTTCGATGAGATGGGTTGATGCAGTGACTGGGGTAATGGGAGTAGGTGTGTCAGAGACAGTAAGATTGGTACAGGATAGAGCAGTGTTTAGGGCTGTTGTACATAGGGTTGCTATGAGTTGCAAGTGGCTCGACGGCACATAATAACATCATTAGTATTCCTTGAAGAGGTTAGCAGATATATTCTATTTCTTTCCTTTTGCACTCTTCTTGTCAAGCTGGGGAAGAGTTTGGGAATCAAGGGGACAAATTGAAAAGGGCAGTCTGGATTTAGAACCTGGGACCTTCTCCATCATTTACCCAGACATTGGCTTCTAGGCTGCTCATTGGAAGGAAGAATCTCAGGAGTAGTTCTTCAGTGTCCATTTCCTCTTCTCTAATAAACTGGCAATCCAAACATGGACCATGGAAATTCAAAGTTCTTTAACCTATGCAGACTTCCTTTTACTCTAAAATTCTTTAAAGTCTGTATGAGGCAGTGTTGGGTTGTTTTTCTTAACCTGATTACAATGATCTACATTAAACACAATGAGGTTTAACCCTTCACGTTTTCATCCTAAAGGGGGCGCTAACGCCTCTCATGCCGAAGAATGAATTCTGGATCTGGAGTTCTAAGACCTAGTTCTGTCACCCACTAGATGCTTTTCTGTTCTAAAGTGGAAAAGAGTTACCCTTTTCAGTAGTGTTGTAAGAGTTAAATAACATAAGTGAAAGCTCTCAGGATTTGCAATCTGACAGTAACAGTCCATGTTACCTCTAATTGGTAGAAACTGTATGGTGAGCAAATTCTCTAACTCCAACTTCCTCTCTGGCCTGTCCACCAAGAACGGGAGGTCTATATGGACTCTTGGCAATGTGGTAACTGTGACCTTGAACTTGTTTGCCCTTCCTTTCCATTTTTTCATTGAGCATCTCTGCACCTTCTGGTGTTCAGCAGAACAGAAGCTGTGACCTGGGAGCAGAGTGTTTAACTGGGATATGCCATGAAGCAAAAACATGTGACAGCTGGAATCACAGATCTAGGTAATCAGAAGAGCTGTTACCTTAAGTAGGATACTCTTGGTGGTAACACATAGGTACATGGCACACAGGAACATCTAGAAGGTCTCTGGTGCTTGGAAAGAACCAAGCACTGCTCTGACCTGACAGAGGAAAATGCACATTATCTCAGTGGACGGGTTTTTATTGCCATTGATTCCAGTTATGTGTACGATATGTTTACGTGACTGGCTAAGAGGAAGCACTGATTAATGGCTGCATGAAGAAAGGATAATCAACAAAGTGACTGAAATGAAACTGCTGGCTGCATCTCAAGTCCTCGAGTGAAAAGCAGCATTTGATATCCTCACTTACATTCATTTGCTCGTCATTAGGCCATCAGTCATCCTGATTACGACAGACTAGGCCTGATCAGATAGATTCATCTGAAGATACCGGTCATTGGTGCCCACGAGCACGGCATCTCTGGGAGAACCTAGTGTATGTGGTCTGGGTGGGCCTGTGACGCAGATTTGGCCAGCTTGCCAGCACGTGTGACGAGGACATACAGAGGCTGCTGGCATTGTTGATTTGCTGGACGCAGCTGTGCCTCATCAGCTCTGCCGTTAACTTCTCTCCCTTTTTGGCTGACGCTATTCTGAACTGGGTGCTGTTCAATCGCATTCAAGAGAACCACGCCAGAAAGAAATTACTGCCACAGCTGATGCATCTGCTGCAGCGCATGTTCAGAGTGGTGTGGTTTTTTTCTTTATTTTTTATTTAAATGTGTATAGTAGTTACAAGATCGGTATCTATCTTATTAGTAAATACGACTTCTCTACCTAATTCCATTACTAGAGACTTCATGGTGTCACTGTCACCATCACGGTTTGGTTTTGCTGGCAAAACCTTCTCTCATGCCTTCAAGCAAATAAAAGTCACGTACACAACATTGACCAGAGTATTTTTTACTGGAATTTATTGGGAAGGGAGTTATATATAGTCAAAAATCTTCAGACATAAAGAAAATCTTCTGATTGAACTGGAGCCAAATAAAAGTAAATTCCAGTCCCATTTCAGTCTCCACTGGCCTGGGTACCCAAGCCATGCAGCAGCCCTCTTCTGGAGGCACAGACCACACTGTCAGTGATGTGGCCACCCTTTCATGACCAGTGGCTCCCTGTGGCATGTCTCAGTGGCCCCAGGTGTGCATTCTGAGAAATTCCTTCCATCTTTGGTCTTCTTCAGCCACTTAAGAATGCCGCTGGCTTCTGCAAAACTGATCACCAGCCATAAGCTCTGGTCCATACAGCTTTCTTCCTGAACTCCGGGAGAACTCGCAAGGCCAGGAGGGAGCCTAAGAGAGCAAAGACGAAAGTACTCAGCTGTATTCGGTGGCATTGCAGCTCACCCAAAAGCTTTCAGAATAGAATTTGATTTTTTTCTCACTTGGTTTATCTTAAAAACAAAGAATTCCCATTATGACGGAAGCAAAATTTTAATGGTAGAAAACGGCAAATAAAGGTTGAGGGGAAAGATTTTTAAATATACACTTCAGTCAACTAATGGGAAATTCTGCAGAATTGAAGTGAAAAACTGCCTCTGAGATTTTGCAATGTTCTGTTTTTTGAAAATCCACTTATGATTTGTGCACTTTACTTACTACATGACGGTTTCACTAAATAATTAAAAGGCCGTGAAGAAATAAATAGGTCCTGGAATAAAGTTAGATACATGGGCTCAGTGGTGTGAGCTTCACCATACTAAACTTTATCTGAATAGGTGTCCAAAGTTCATATGTTTCTGTCATACACCCTTCAGGGATCAATTTAGGAAAGTCCTATAACACCTTATTATATATCTTATTTTAGGATAGTAATAAAATATTACTGGAAATGCTACAAACTCTATCTAAACTCTATAAATGTGCAGAAATGATGGTAGTGCAGGTCTTTTGTGCAAAGCTTAGTCTGAGTTGTATTCGACCTGATGACAGTTAACCACTGCTAACTGAGACTAGTGCTGTTACATGTGGAGGAACACCCTTCCACTTGGCACATCACTCCTTGTCAATGTGCAGTATAAAGTAACCTGGGTTTGCTGTGATGCTGAACTCTGTGCCATTGGGATATCAAATACCAGAATGGTTTCCCAATGTGGACAGTGTTTGGTGGAGCTCCCATTTAAACAGGTTTAGAAGCAGGAATGGCATCCACTTCCTAAACCACATGCCTCTGGAAACTCTATGAACTTGGAGAAATTGCAATAGTTATGGAAACACATTAAGTCTTTTGTTCACAGAGTTGCTATGAATTGTGTTTGACTCAATAGCAACCAACAATAACAACAACAATATAAATATGGAGATGATACTTGAAATAGTGTTGAGAGAATGCAGGGAAGCCAGGGTCACACAGTAATTCTATGATTCTAATATATGTTCTCATCAGCACCATTTCAGACAATACCCATTTGGAACAACCCACTGTATTGCTGACCCCCGCCATTAAATATAAGTCAAAATGCCCAGAGGAAAATGGACAAAGAAAACACTAACAGCCAGACACTAGTAAAAGGTCAAGGGAAAGTATATGTTTTGACACATGGTAAACCACCATTGGATTTCCAAGACCAGAGATCTTTACAGAGAAGACTGCCTCAATGCCCTCCCCTAAAGCAGCTGAAGATTTGAACTGCCATCTTCCAGGCAGCAGCCCAACTAATACACTATGCCACAGGCTTTAACAGAATAATAATGTTAAAAAAGTACTCATATACCCAGAAGGTAAATACTTCTTATGGAAAACGGAACTCTCCTTGCACAATAGGATTCTGGGTTCCTTTTTGCTTTATCTCTTTAGTTCCCTGAATTTTCTAACCTTGGGTTCTTGTTGTTAAGTGCCATCGAGACGTAGATTACTCATAGCGACCCTATAAACGAAAGACCTGAACACTTGTAAACTTTCATCGTTTCTCCAAGTTCATAGAGTTTCCAAGCTATTTTGGAAGTGGATGACACTCCTGCTTCCAAGCTTGTTTTAATCGGAGAGCTCTACCAAACATTTTCCACAATGGGTAACCATTATCACATCTGATGCATCAGTATCACAGTGTTCAGCATCACAGTAGCCACAAGTTAGCTCTGTACAGCAAATGGACAGACCAGTGCTATTCCACTTAGAAGAATGCCTGACCAAAAACAATTAAACCAGGCTGGAAGACCATAGATTAAAATCACCCACCTCTGGCTTGGTCGCATCACTTTCTAACCACCAGAGCTCTCTCTATGACTCCCAGCAATTCTATGAACAACAGATCTAACCCTTATCCTATGCCTTGGGTTACAATCATATTGTATAATTATAATGAAACTTGTTTTTAAAAAACATTTAAATAAAAGGTAAATGTAAAGAAATGGAACACTTTTTAATTGGTCTTTCTGGTTCAAAATGCTACTGCTCTTGAGTTCATGCCCAGGTTAAACCAAGATCATCTTTCTCAGGACTGCCTACAGCATCATGCTCTGTGCAGCACAAACAAGTGCGTGGCTTTCATCTATGTTAGGGAAGAGCATGGAAGCAGTACCTTTTAACAGATCCCGGGATTTTGCTGAAAGAGCTTCTTTGGGGGCTTCCATGATGTTGAACAGCCAGTCAATGAACTAGAGTGAAAATGAAGAACAGTGTCAGTGAAAAGATCAATTAGTCCCATGGATGTAGAAATCCAAGTACGAATATACTAATCTTACTTCTGACTGTGGATGGTAACTGGAGCTGAGATAGGGAACAGATGTAAGGTCAAATGACCTGGCAAATCATTCACCAAGTGTTCAGGAATTACCAAAAGTTGGTAAACATTTTGAGAGAGAGGTTGACAGGGGCCTAGAACATCCTCTTTCATCATTCACAGAGGCTAAGGCTCTTGCCCAAGTTCAACGCCAATGACTAAAAGAGTCAAGGAACAAACCCAGGTCCACCTGGCTGCAAAGATCCACACTCTTTGCTCTGCATTTTGCTGCCTCCTGCCAGGTTCAGTGTGCATCCAGGCCTAGGTTTCCAGGTGGGAACAGACAGAACCTTAAGGTCCATCCAACAAGAGGACGTAACCATAATAAATACTTGCACATCCAATGATATTACTGTTAGGTGCCCTCAAGTTAATGAGGACTCACAACAACTCTATGAACAACAGAACTGAAGCTTGTCCTACCCTGTGCCATCCTCACAATCTCCAACATGCTACAGAGCCCACTGTTGGTGTCACTGTGCCAATCCATCCTGTTGATAATCTTCCTCTCTTTCTCTGACATTCCACATTTCCCAGCATGATATATTATTCAGAGAACTGGATCTTCCTAATAACTTGCCCAAAGTACATGTGATCATGTTTCATCTTCCTTGCCTTTAAGGAACAGCACCTTGGTCGCACAGTTCCTCCAAGACAGGCTTGTTTATTCTTTTGGCTTTCCTTGGCATAGTCAATACTCTTCTTAGGAAACTATTCTCAGGACGGTCTTCCTTATTCACTGTCCAATTTTCACATGCATAGGAAACAAATGAAAGGAAGATGACTTGGATCATGTGCACTTAAAGTCTTTAAACTGATGTTAGTGCTCTTTAGCACTTTGATGACACGTGGACAGCACATTTTCTCTAATGCAACATGTTGTCTTCTGATAACCGCTGCCATGGATGTTTGCAATTAATTGCTTTGCATCAGAGAGCTAGGTAATGACTAAGGATGACAGAAGAATAATAGATGCCTTCAAGTTGTGGTGCTGGAGAAGAGTCTTAAACATACCATGGACTGCCAAGGAAAAGATAGGTCTGTCTTAGAGAGGGTGAAACCAAGTTTCTCCTTGGAGGCTAGGATTTTGAAGCTCTATCTCACATACTTTGGGCATATGGCCTGAAGACAACAGTCGTGGAGAAGAACATCATGCTTGGAAGGGTGGAGGAACAGTGTAGGAGAAGATGACGCTGGATGAGATGGATTGATGCAGTACCTGGGGCAATAGGGGTTGGCGTGTTGGAATTAGTGAGACTGGCTCAGAACAGGGCAGGGTTTAGAGCTGCTGTCCACAGGGTTGCTATGGAGTAGGCGACTCGACAGCCCATAATAATAACAACAAACCATGGATGTTGACTCTGGATCCAAGTAAAATGAATCACTGACAACTTCAAATTGTTTCAACTATCATGACATTGCCTACTGGTGCAGAGGTGAGGATTTTTGTCTTCTTGATGTTGAGACATAATTCAGAGTGATGGCTGTAGTCTTTTATCTTTTGCACTAAGTGCTTCAAGTCTTCTTCACTTTCAGCACAAAACACTGTGTCTTCTGTATAACACATATTGTTGATGAGTCTTTCTCCACTCATGATGCCACATTCTCCTTCATATAGTCTAGCTTTTTGAATTATTTGCTCAGTATACAGACGAAATAGGCAAGGAGAAAGGATACAACCGTGACCCATACCTTTTCTGATTATTAAACCCTACAGTGTTCCCTTGTGCTGTTTGTTACTATTCTATCAAGATAATGGCCCAAAATATAAGAGACTTTAACAGAATTTAAAAAGAAACAGACAACTCCACAATAATGATGTCAAGACAATGTTTTGATCCTGTGTGAAAAATGTGTATGAATTTTATAAGCTTTGTATATAAACCAGTATAAAATAAAATAAAATTTAAAAAAAGAGTAAAAATCTTAAAAAAAAAGACACTGGTTTCAAAGAAGGACAAAAAACTGCTATAAACTGCCTGGGAGGGAACTGCCCTTTCTCCCTTGGAACCCTGGTTTACCTCACCCACCTGAGAGGCTCAGCCATTCTGACAGCAATGTAACATCCTTTGGACTATATGTCATCAGAGCTCCCTATGAAGATATCAAGTTAACAACTCATTACCATCAAGTCAGAAGTGACTCACAGCTGACTCTCCAGTGGGTTTTAGAGGCTGGAAGATGATTATCCACCTTTCTCCTGTGGACTTGTACATTAGTGGTGCAACTCTGAGCAGTTTAGTGCTCTGCGGACTGTGTCACTAGAGCTCCCTTACAAAGAAGTAGATGATCTAAACAACACAATCAACCAGCTTGATCTCACATTCTTTTCCACAGCCTAGGGATCATTTTGAAAATTAGATCAAATGTTAGGACACAAACCAAAAGCCTACATAAATTTAAAAAAACTGAAAAGTACAAAGCATCTTGGATCAGAATATTATAAATTAAGAAATTATTAACAGGAACAGTAAGGAATGATACATTCACATGATGGCATATTATTTAGCACTCAGGAGCCACAATTTTGAAAAATATGGCATAATTTGGGAAAGACTGGAGAGCATTATGCTAAGTGAACTAACTCAGTCCCATAAGCACAAATACTGCATAAGACCATTATTGTAAAAATAAAAGGACAACTAGTAAAACATGTTTGGGGATCCAAGGGAGGAGGGGTAAGGGAGGGCGGGGGGGGGTGGTGAAAATCACAGGGTTGCACAATTTTATGGGTGGGGGTAGGGGGGAATAGGAAATGGGAAAGATCCAGTGGGGACCTGAAAAGACAGGGTAATGGTGAGCGTAGTTCAATAGGGATTAATTTTATAAAATATAATGTAGGAGAATGATTGTATGTGAATGAAGGAAAGTATTAAACACAATGTATATGAATTTTGTATGCAAACCAATGTTGTTATTACTGTTAAGTGCCATCAAATCGTAGGTGACTCATAGTGACCCTATGAATGAAAGACCTGGACACCTGTATAACTTTTGTCCTTTCTCCAGGTTCATAGGGTTTCCAGAGGCAAGCTATTATGGAAGTGGATGCCACTCCTGCTTCCAAGCTTGTTTTAATCGGGGAGCTCCACCAAACACTGTCCACCATGGGGAACCATTCTCGCATTTGACTCATCAGGGTCACAGTGTTCGGCTTCACTATAAAATTAAAAAAAAAAATAGTACTTAAAGAGAAGAGTATTGACTGCCAGGAAAACAAACAGGTTCATCCTAAAGAGGGTGAGACTAGGCTACTCCTTGGAGGCAAGGCTTCTGAAGCTTCATCTGACATATTTTGAACATGTTGCAAGGAGGGACCAGTCCTTGGAGAGGGACGTCATGCTTGGGAGGGTGGAGGGTCAGAACAAGAGAGGAAGACCCTTGATGAGACGGATTGATCCAGTGACTGGGATAATGGGGGTAGGTGTGTCGGAGCTGGTGAGATTGGCACAGGATGGGGCAGAGTTTAGGGCTGTTGTACTTGGGGTCACTATGAGTCGTAGGCATTATTAGACATAATGTAATATCGAACCAGATTCCATCAATAGTCTTTAAACAGTGAAGATAATAATCACTAACTATATATGGAAAGGAAAGTGACCACAGATAAGCAAACCCATTTAAAGAAGAACAAAGAATGAGGCCTCAAACTTCTTCATCTCAGAATCTACTACACAGCATGGCAGTCAACACAGTGTGTTACTGGCATGAAGGCATGGGTCACAGACTGAAGGAATGGAGTTGAGGGTCCAGATGTAAACCCCTCCAGTCCGTCTTTAACAATTATTAAACATAGAAGAGATAATCTCTTTAGCAAATGGTCCCGGAAAACCCGGAGAGCAATGTGTAAAAAAACCCAAACCAACCCAAACAGGATCTCTACTACCTAATATATATTTATATATTATCTAACTCAAGAAAGGTCCAAGATAAAAACGTACAACCTAAAACGATAAAGATCATGGAGGGAAAAATAGGAACAAACATAGAGACCATAATTTATGACAATAGTCTACTGATCTTAACAAAAAAGGGTACAAACAGCAGAAGCAAAACTAGACAAGTCGGCTATCCTAAAAATGAAATACGCATATCAAAAGACTTCTCCAAAGGAGGGGAAAACCCTGCAGATTGGGTAAATATTTTTGGTAACAATATAGCTGACAAGGAACTTATCTCTAAAATTTATGGAAAATGTCAGCATTCAACAAGAAGACAAACATCTAATTAAGAAGTGGGGAGAGAACATGAAGAGATATACCAAGTAAGACATCCAAGAAGCTAACAGACACATGAAGAAACGCTCGTGCTCATGAGACACTGTCGTGCCATATGCTGCGGAGTTTCCAGAGAACGTAAACGCACAGGAGGAGACTGCCCATCCTCCCACAGAGCAGCTAGTGGATTCAAAACATGTGCCTTTGGATTGGCAGTGCAACTCCTTACCACAAAGCCACCAGAGCTACCCCATTAGCCATTAGAGATGCAAATAAAACAGCAATGAGATACCAGCTTACCTGAAAATAATGGCATTAATAATGGAGCTCTGGTGGCTTAATAATAAGGAATTGCCCTGACAACACAAAAGTGGTGGTTGTTGTTACCGTTAGGTGCCGTCGAGTATGACTCATAGTGACCCTATGAACAAAAGAACTAAACCGTTCTATGCCACATCATCCTCACACTTCCTGACACACAAGAGCCCATTGCAGCAGTCACCGTGTCAATCCACCTGGTTGAACGTCTTCTCCTTTGCTGACCCTCCACTCCTCCCAGTATTATGTCCTCCTCCAAGGAATAGCCTCTCCTCGCAACATGTCCAAAGTATGTGAGGTGAAGCCTCATCATTCTTGCCTCCAAAGAGCACTCCATATTCACTCTCCAAGACATATCTGTTCATTCTCTTGGCCGTCAATGGGATGTTCAGTGCTTTTCTCCAACACCACAGCTCAAAGGTGTCAATTCTTCTTCTGGCATCCTTACTCAATGTCCAGCTCTCAGATGCATAGCAAGTAATCAGAAATACCATGGCCTGAATCAGACACACCTTAGTCCTCAAAGGGACATCATTAATCTTCAGTAATTTGGAGAGGTCCCTAACTGCAGATTTTCCCAGGGCAATGCGTCTCTTGATTTCCTGACTGCTGGTACCAAGGATGTTAATTGCGGACCAAGCATAATGAAGCTGTTGACAGTTTCAATCTTGTTTCTATTCATCATGATGCTGCCTACTGGTCCAGTTTTTTTTTTTTATATTGCGATGAAATCCATAGGTGCGTAGTTCAAATCCACCAGCTGTTCCACAGAAGACAGATGGGCAATCTCTTCCAGTGCAATCTAATGCCTCTGAAAACCATCTAGAGGGCCAGCTATAGGTTGGGTCCATCTTGACAGCACATAACAACAATAGCAACAATAACAAAATAGAAGGAAAAAAAACCCAAAACAAACCTCCATAACAAAAACCAAGAAGACAAATGCTGGTGAAGGATGTGGGGAGACTGAAAAATCTGTCTCCACTCTAGTATTTGGCTCTGATGTGCATTTACCTTTTTTATCCCCAGGATCAAGAATACATGTCACTCTCAATAAATGAATGCAGAAAGGTGGTTTCTTTTCATCCACCTCAACTGTAAACAGGTGTCTGCTGTTGTTGTTTTCAATGAATAGTTGGGTGAAGCCCAGGCCAACCTGGGGCCTGATTCCGGTTGAGGTTTGGGGCTGAGTATCACAACCTGTGCTGTGGTTTAAGTTTGGTGTCGAGTCCGCCTCGGTTCCACCTCTGAAAGGAGGTGGCTGCAGTCCTCACCTTTTGAGTCTGCTCTTTCCACGGCTCCTTCTGCAGGAGAAGGAGCAGGCTACTGGGAAGGAGGGTTAAAGTTTCCTCCAGTGTGACCCTGTGCACAGGACTCCTGCCAAGGAAGCTGGGTGCTGACTCAGCAGAGCCAAAATGCCATGGCAACCAGCTGGCACTGAGGCCGAGGAGGAGAGGGGCCGCGTGGTCAGCCCATGTTACCACTGCCGCGGCAAATATCAGCAGCAAGAAGTCCAGAGCCTAAAACGGAAAGAGAAACCAAGATGGGTCACATGGTTAACCAGCTCAACGGGCACAGGCTCAACAACACAATCATGATGTAATGCTCTCTTCTTCCTTATTCAATCCTTCTTCCTGCCCCAGACCGGCCCCAAAAGAGGAACGGGAACGAGCTGCAAGCTCAATTTCCAAACTTAATAAAGAGACATTTTAGGATCTGGAAGGTTTTTGGGGTTCCTCTCTTATGAAATCAAGGACCTGACAGTCTCATTGTTATTGCACCAACATTTCAGCTTTCAGCAGAAGCAAGACTCTTAATTCCTAAATCACTCTGAGATGCAAACACCCCATTGTTTTGTTGCAAGAAATCAGTTAAGAATGACACGAAAGGACAGAATATGTTAGTACAAAAATGATAAAGCACCCTTCAATTTCTTATAATTCCCAATTTTGCTAATTAAAACTTCCAAAAGACACAATCCTTCAGGAAAGGTGAGCAGAATTGCAAATACCATCCTAGGTTATACAAATTTTACACACACAGTAACTAGGACATCCATAAACCATGTCTATAAAAGAAAATCTATTAAGGACTACACAGCAACCAGGTGGGTAGAAAAAAAGGAAAGAAATGAGGCTGGAAGGCCAAGCAGAATCCTTTTATTTACTGATTCTTTTTCTTTTTCTTCTCTTTCCCAAGACTAACATTTCTAACCTTTCTGGAATCATATTAGGCCATTTTTTATGTGTGATAAACACTTACCTCTTTACAAACACATGTATGTAAAAGGGGGGCACCGAGAGGTTCTTTGCATATGGGAAGGAACCTTGCAAAGGACGGGGCTGATGCTATGCTCTGCTCTGCTCTGGGCCAGTGCAGAGGCCAGAGACCCTGATTTCCTGGTCTTTTGTGAGATCAAGCCCATCTATACTAGGAGGGGTCCTGTTGAAAGTATCATTCAAAATAAGAGAGTTCCAGGCTCCTCAAAAGCCGTGGTGGGAACAGTTATTCCTCATGGATTCATAAAACTGTCTCTATTTTTATCTTTAAAGTCAAAAGTTGGGTAAAAACAGCCACAGGCCACAACATAGCCCTTCTCTGAGACATAAATAGGCATTCTCCATTTTAAAGAAGCTACAGATTCCTCTGGTAGACTTACCTCATCAAGGGCCACATTCTGCACTGATGTCGACTGGTAAGCAACATTTCTAATATAGCCCATCATTTCCAAGAGCCACTCCATCCTCTTCAACACGCCTGAAACAAAGTGGGCCTTTTCATACGCAATCCTGCTTTTTTTTCCTTCTTTCTGTCATTTAAAGTTTTTAACTAGCAGGGGTAATTGTAACTAGTTACTTAGGCAAAAAAAAACCCCAAACAAAAAGTATGTATTTCTTCATTGTAGTAAATATACATGTAAGAAAAGATTTGCCATCTCAATATCTGTCACATGTACAAGTCTATTTGAGATGTAAAAGAGATGACTGACTAAGAGAACTGGATAATGAATTAGGACGACAGAAGACTCCTTGACGCCTTTGAGCTGTGGTGGTGGTGAAGAGTACTGAATATCCCATGGACGGCCGAAGGAACAAGCAGGTGTGTCCTGGAGAAGGTGCAGCCAGTGCCCCAAGGCAGCAAAGATGACAAAGCTTTGTCTCACATTCTTAGGACATGTTGTTGCTGGGGGAGGTTACTCCCTGGAGAGGGACCTTGGGCTTGGAAAAGTGGAGAATCCACCCTCAACCAGGTGGACTGACACAGTGCCTGAGGCCATGAGCTCGAGCGGGTCAGAAAGTATAAGGACGGCGCAGGATAGGAGAAAGGACAGGCTTCAGATTTGTTGTTCATGGAGTCGTTATGGGTCATCCTTGACTTGATGGGACCTGACCACAATAAGGCAAGTAAAGAACAACACGTGGTGATTTCACCCAGCAGCTCCACGTGCTCCTGCAGCTGTGAGTGTGAGTGTGTGTGTGTGTGTGTGTGTGTGTGTGTGTGTGTGACATATAAACACCAAGTGAGGGTAGTGTGTCTTTAGTTTGAAAATGGACTCTAGCCTTCAGACTTACAGTCATGGGTCATACTGTGTTATCAACGTGGCCACGGTCCCCAGTGCACTTGAACTCTTCTGTGGACTGTCAATTCTAATCTCTGTAATGTTAATAAGGCAGGAGTTGCTTTTCCGGATCTCTGAAGACACGAGTCATCTGATTAATGCTAAGTTTCCTCTGTGGTACGGCCTGTATGATATTTGGAGTCCTCAGCAGAAAAGCTGGAAAGCTTTGCGTTAGACATACCCCTGGCACTCTGGCAGACCTCAATCAATGGCCTCCTGCCCCTCGCTGACTCTGGTCTCCTCAGCATCCAATGCCAGCTATCTGCGACTCTTCTTACTAACATCAAACATCAACCCCACCAGTGGTCAAGTGCACTTTATCATTTTCTTTCTCAACATTAAGCATGCAAGGAGAAGTGTGGCATATCAACTAGCTTGTGATGTTGAATACTCAGCAATTAGTTGTTTTTATAATCTGCCTTTGCTTAAACTTTCCCAATTAATGCCAGACCCACATCTTTTTCTCTTTCATTGTTTTCAATTGGAACTGACTCATGCATGACCAAATGGGGGGGAGGAAAAACCACCCCAACACCACCCTATAATAATAAATAAACGAAAACTAGCCATTAAAGGGTTACTAGGGAAGAATGAACCTAAGCAGTGGTAGGGAGTGGGAGTGTCAAACCCGAAGGCTCAGGTGCTTCGGATCCACCAGCTGCTCTGCAGGAGAGAGACGGGCAACCTCCAGCCCTGCGATTACCAGGCTCCAAGAACCTGCTGAAGGGCCAGCGAGGAGTTGGCTCCAACCTGAAGGCAATTAAGTGGATGTCTGCTGAAGAAAAATGAGAAGCCCTGGTGTTGCAGTGATTAAAATACTCAATAGTTAACCGAAAGGGTGACAGTTCAAACCCACTGGCTATAGTAGAAAGATGTGGCAGGACTCTGTTGTAAAGATTTACAGCCATGAAAATCTATGAGGCAACTGGAATCGGCTGCCAGATATGACTCGGCTTGGAATACAAATATCAGCATGAATACTGATTTCCCCTATTTTGTTTTCTAAAAATTATTCCCAGCTCAGTGAAGACTACTTGGAAAATGATTTTTTTTTAAATGAAGGGTTGTATTTAAAAAAAAAATAAAAGTAAAAAGAAGGACGCTCTGGTGGCCTAGTGGCAGGAAGCTTCACTGCAATCCCAGAGGTGCACGGTTCAAATCCACCAGATGCTCTGCTGGAGAGGGAGGGACAATCTCCTCCTGTACCAGTCAGATCCGATTTGACGGTAAACATACACAAACAATGAAATTTTTAAAAAAAGTTGAAAAAAAAGATGATAGCTACATTTGATGGACTGCTAGTTAGAACATTATGCAATATCAAATTTATTTCAGTGTGTTGCATTGTGAACACCTACTAGACTTCTTCCTGATAAAAGTTTTAGTTTAGAGCAAAAAAAAAATCTCATTTCTCATGAGAGGCTCAGTTTTCAGTAGCAGGAACTCATGCAGAAATAACTGTGTCCACTGTCAAAGAGGATGATGACTCAAAAGTTCTTGTATGGTCCTGAGAAGCTATTACACTCACGTACTTCCCGCAAGACATCAAAGATATAAGAAACAGCAAAACGGGGCACAAAAATAGCTTGTCTAGGGTTACAAGGGTCTCTCAGCCCATCTGGTCCTGTTGGGTGCCTCGGAACCTGGATGCAGACTTGAAAAGGAATAAGCATATGACCAGAGGATGAGCAAGGAGCTCCCTTTTCAAGGATTTCCTCAAGTGCAATGTCTAGAATGGTTACAAAATAGCACCATGGAATTCATTACCAGCGTGTCAAGCTTAAAGTTTCTAGCTTGCTGATGTTGGTAGGGTGGCCAGATTTCATTCTCTCCACTGCGAAAAAGACTGTGTAGAACAATCATTTAATTTTGCTGCTGCTGTCTCTTGTCTGTTAAATGGTCATGCATAAGTCATTTTCCTAGAATAAGGTGAGATCTGCCTATTGCTATGTGCCATGGAGTTGCTTGTGACTCACAGCAACCCTATGTACAACAGTTCTGAACCCTGCTCTATCTTGAGCCAACTTCATTGTCTCCTACACAGCTATCCCCATTACCCCAGTTACTGAATCATTCCATCTAATCCAGGGTTTTCCTCTTCTGCGCTGTCCCTCCACCCTTCCAAGCATGATGTCCCTCTCCAAAGACTGATTCCTCTTGGCAATATGCTCAGAGTATGTGAGATGGAACTTCAAAATCCTTGCAAGGTTTCATCTTCTCCAGAAAGACCTGTTTGTTCTCTTAGCAGCCAATAGTATGTTCAGTATTCTCCTCCAGTACCACAACTCAAAGACATAGATGATTCTTCTATCATCCTTAGTCATTGTCCAGCTCTCTGATGCACAGTAAGTAATTGAAAAGACCACAGCTTGTATCAGGTACACCTTAGTCTCTAGACTGGCACCGTTGCTCTTCAGCACTATAAAGATCCACCTACATCTTGTCTATGTGGGAAACTGAAGTTGTGCGGGTGGAAACAACCTACTATAAGGGTCTGGGAGGGTCTATGGGGCCAAATGCAATGTCAAAATAGTAAATAAACATTCTTCTATGCAAAAAAGTGGGGCTGGGAAGCACAGATGCTCATTTCTACTCAATGCAACTTTTACCTCAGGAGAGGAGGCCTAACTGATGTCACACCAGTGCTAAATGGGATTCCCCCCCCCCCCAGAAGCTAGTTTTGAAATGAAGAAAATGATCCCGAGAGGGTTGGCAGACAGCAGACCTCTGGGCCGCGGATGCTGCGGGCGCCTCACCTGTGTTGGCGTGGCTTCCGATCCGCGCCTGGTAGAAGCTGTGCAGCATCATCCAGGCCAGTGTCTGCCTCTCTGAGTGCTGCACGGCAGCACCGAGCACATCGGTCAAGTGCATCAGGGGGAACCGCCCTTGGGAGATCAGGTACAGCTTCACGAAGGCAGCCTTCTCGATGTTGCTCTGAAAAAAAACGGCAAGTTGTTCGGTTGCTATTAAATGATCTGAAGTAGCTACACAACCTTCAGGACCAGGACAAAAACAATGGTGAGTCTTGATGTTGACAACTACCCTTAAACGCTAAACCAGCCAGTTCACAGTATGTTACCTCTTATGTTATATTAAAATATCCATGCACAGAGGGCTGTAATATCACTTCCTCTGTTTTTCTTTTCCACAACAAAATCCCACAAATGCTCAGGTGTGTGTGGTGTTGGTTTTTACTATGCTAAACTCACTGCCATTACTTGACTGCAACAGAGAACTGACACAATAGGCTTTCCAAGGCTTTCAATCCTTGCAGACGCAGGCTGCCACTCTGTTCTCCCACAGTGGCTGGGGGGCTGGGGGGGGGAGGGGCTTGACCTGCCAGCCCAGCAGCTACAGGGGTGAGGAAGTGCTGGGTACTCAAACACTGTGTCACCAGAGCTCTTTAATGAAAGATCCTAACAAATGGCACCTAACAAATACAGTCCTTACCATGTGCAAGGCATTACCTGTACACACTGAGCAGTTCTCAAATTCTGGGGACCCCCTCCAAGCCCTTTGGGAAGATCCGTCAGGTAAAAATTAGTTCTAAAGTACTACTAAGACACTTTAAATTTTTATACTGTGTTCGTACACATTATCACTCACAATGTGAAAACAAAACAACAAAAACACCCAAACAAAAACAAACCCCAAAACCCAACCAAAAGTAGGTGAAACTGCTGGCACATTAGTGAACCAAGAGTGGTGACACCACAGTCACAAGAACATGGAAATAGCCCAAATGTCCAACCACAACCAGGGATTGAGAAATTGTGGTACAATTGTGGAAACAGTGACGGAATGCTATGCAGCACTTAGGAACAAAGATTTCGAAAATTACTACATAACTGAGAGACTGGAGGGAATTATGCTGAATGATCTAACTCAGACTCACAAGGGCAGATACTATAATAGATATGTTATAACATAATACTATAATATATATGTTAGAATATAATACTATTTATATTTATACACACACACACACACACACACACACACACACACACACTATAATATAATAATGGGCATAAGCCCATTACTTTAGCAACAGATAACTAGTAAAACATCTATGAGGATCCAAGGAGGGAAAGGACGGGAGCAGGAGGGTGAGGGAGGGCAGGGGGTGGGAAGTCACAGCGTTGCACGTTGCACAATTTGGTGAGGGGAGGCAGGGGTGAGTAAAGGAAATGGGAAAGATCTGGCAGGGATCTGGAGAGACAGGGTGATGGTGGGCATAGTTCAATGGTGATTAATTTTATAAAACATAATGAATGAGAATGACTATATGAAACACAATGTACACAAACTTTGAAAGTGAAGCAATTTCAAGTAAAAATGAGAAAGAAAAAAAAACCAAAACAAAAAGGTGGTGACACCGAATGAAGCAGTTTCACTGTGTTCCCTTGGCCTTCACAGGTAAAGCAAACGGACAAAGCAGGCATTATTTAAAATGATGCCTAAACCTCTACCCTGAGTCCTCATCTTCTGAATATGTGACAGAGTGGGAAGGACATGTGATGAGCATTTGCTGTACGGCCAAGTTCGATGGTTACTTCAGGCCTGAGCTGTGAGAGGAAGTAGCCACGTTTCATTGAACTTGAAAGAATTCAACTACTTGAGAGACTGACTGGTAAACTATGGCTATTAAACTGGCGAACAGATTATTTTCTTGAAATTGAAGGACGTGGACCTATCACTTCAAGGAAAATCTCTGATAGCATTTTCTGCCCATGATAAAATCTGAGCTTCTGAGTGAAACTAGATTTTTAGAAGGTGTCTAACTGCCCTCACCAGCTAAGGTGCTCTGGGGGTGCTATAGTTAACTGTTCAGCACTAACTAAAATGGTATTTTGAGCCTTCAGGTTGTTCCATGGAAGGAAGACATGGAGGTCTATTTTCAGGTATCTCAGCCTTGCAAACTGGCGGGAGCAGTTCTACCCTTCTTACAAGGGTTACTATAGGTCAGAATTGGCTCAGTGGCAGCGATTGTTGTTATACACCAATGAGTTGGAACCGACTCATAGCTGATCCTCCAGTGGGTTTCCAGAGGCAGCTGGTATATTTGAACAGCACATCTTGACAGCACAACTCCTTACCACTGGGCCCCCACAGCTCCCTTCAAAGGCAGAAGGTTTGAGGAATTATTGTTTATTTCCAAGAGCTTGGTTTCCATATACGAAGACTTAATAATCTCGCCAGACATGCTGCTTTATTACTGCATCATGAACTCCATCAATGTGTAGATCTACAAACTCAGTGATTCAGTATTTTCCAAGGGATTAGGGTATGATGCTACAAAATCTTGCATGAGCAAAAGGACACGCTATAGGCGGAACCAACAGACATATAAAGGTTCAAATCTACCAGTGGCTCCACAGGAGGAAGATGGAAAATCTCCTCCTGTTGTGATTTAGAGTTGTGGGAAACCCAATGGAGAGTCCACTAGGAGTCAAAAGGGACTTAATGGCAATGAGTGAGTGAGTCAAGTATCAGCATACGACCCAGATAAGTGAAGGCTCTTTTAAGAGACACTAACACTGTCTTGAGACCATCAAGCTTTTGAACCAATGGGATACCCACTTAATTCTGATAATAGCTATGATTCACTATTACTAATGCAGTGAATCGAGGGAGCTCTGGGAGCTTAGTGGTAAGGAATTGCACTCCCAGTACAAAAGTATGCAGTTCAAATCCACCAGCTGCTCTGCGGCTGAAAGATAAGTGACAGAGTCAGTCAGGGAGTCTGCTCTCTCCATCCTACCTTATCTTACTTCTTCCCAGGAACGGCTAGGTAACACTAACCTCAACGGGACACACAAACTCTTTAGAAGCCATGAGACATTTTAAATGGCTAGTCAGCAGCTTATGTGAACAGTATAGCAATCTTCAGCTCCAGGTACCAAGAAATAAATGATATGTGCATTACTTGGCAACTGTAACACAGAATCAACTTGCTAGCAATTTACAATAACATATTACATGATTGTAATAATATTATACAATGTATTACATAAATGTAATATAATTATGCTAATAAATAATAATTACCAGGTACCCTGCCTTGAACCAGGCACTGCTCCAACTACTTAACATGGATTTAAGAGGCAGATGGTATTTTGATCTACCTTTACATGGAAGACATGGAGGCAGAGCAAGATTATGAAATTTAATTGGCATCACGGTGCTAGTAAGTTGTTGGGCGGTGCCCTTGAGTTGACTCCGTCATCTGCTGGGGAAGATGGTCCGCAGGTCCTTATCCCACAGAGCACCTGGATGCCTTCGACTGCTAACTGGCGTTAACCACCGAGAGTCTGGCTGCTGCAGCACCTTTGCTAGTGTATTACTGAGTCAGGTTTCAAAACCTCAGGAGTGAGGCTCTGGAACGCTCTCTTGTAAGCACTGTGTCAGAGTGCCAGTCTTTGCTTGAAACAAACTAGTCTTTTAAATGGAGATGTCCGTGTGTAATAGTTTTCCGAATCACCTGTAGGATTTGTTTAAAAACCCAGGCTTCTGGGCTCCATTTCCAGTTTCTGATTTAGCAGGCCTGGAGTGGAGCTAGATCGATTCCCAATGTCGCTGATGCTACTGGTCCAGGGACCACACTGTGAGAACCACGGCTAAATGATACAGAAATCCAAGGATTCCATTAAACAGGCAAACTTGTCGTAAAGAGAAATAAGTGATGAGCTGTTCACTAGTAGGGAGCACATAGCTTTCCAGACCTGTGCAGCCTGTAACCTGTGTAACCAGAGTTGCTGTTTTTGAATCAGTAGATCTATTTATACTACAATATTGTTTATCTGCAATTCAAATTCAACAGGGGGCCTCGCATGTTTGCTTTCTGCTCACTCGCTCCTGCGCAGAGTCCATGGAGCACTTGTTCATTACTGGGTGCCAAGGCTAATGGTACTTTTTGTACAATCAATGACTTTGCTTCCGCTCCAGAAGGAACATGTCAGGTGTGAGAATGGCGGCTGTGTAGGCCTTCCATGCACCACAAATTCTTTGGTCAGGATACTCCTACTCTCGTGGATTTTGTGTTGAAGAGGCTCTCCTCTATTTATTGTTGTTGTTATGTTCCATCAAGTCGCTTGCACCTCATAGTGACCCTATGTACAATAGCTCTGAACCCTGTCCTGTCCTGGGCCAATCTCATAATCTCCTATAGACCTAATCCCATTGTTGCCCATAAAAATCTGCTGCTCTCAAGATGATTCTGACTTATGGTGATACCGCGTGTGTTACAGAACCATGCCTGTCATGTTTATCTTTCATTATGACTTTCCTAGCCATTGAACTTGACTCTGACATAATGGGTGAGAACAGAGAATAGGGCGTGTTAGCATATCCACAAGGGGCCTGGCTATCTCACCATTCCACAAGGGGATTGTCCAATCCCATCAACCTGGAAAGGGATTTGCTAGTCTCGCCAATAAACTGAGCAGCTCCAGCAGCAGATGAGACCACCAGTGAAGATGAGATGCAGAAGCAGCAGCGGCAGCAAGAGACTGTCAGGACCACACATTCTTGTTCCTGTTATCCCTATGGCGGCAGCAACCATAGCTGGACCAGAGAGATGACATGAGATGGGCTTTGGTCTGCTACAGCACTGAACTAGAGCTAAGAGCCATTGCTCAACTTTGTTGGACAAATGAGGGTGGGTGGCCACAACTGACAGGATTGAGAACTTTGTATCATTGGCTTAAAGCCACAAGGTTCAGGCTAGGTTACCTAGTAGCACATTCCGGAAGCCGTCCTGACTCTTATAACCTTTTGACTTTCCCAATATGGCTCTGTGTGGTCTGTGAGTAAACCAAGCTTATGGTTTGGTGTTTTTCTGTTTTGTTGTGTTTTTTTTTTTTTTTTAAAGTAGATAGCCAGGCATTTCTTTCCAGATGCCTCTGGGTCAACTACAACTTCCAACCTTTTGGTTAACAGTCAAGACTCTTAACCATTTGTACTACCAAGACACTCTCCATCCAACATCCCACCCCCCACAAGTGGCACTAAAGTGTTCTCAACAAAACAGGAGAAACTGAGTTAAAAAGCTACTCATCTATCTTTCTAGCCACACTGCATTTATTAACCATCAACCAACCGAGGCCAGACTCCCGCCCCCACGGGCAAATATAAGAGCAGGCTTCTGAAATGAATGAGTAACAGATCCCGGTAAAATGAGCTTCCCTCAAAATGATACTACAGTCATCTCTTCAATTGTAAAAAAAAAAGATCTATTACCTTAGTAATACGGGTAACTCGATTGGCATCATCATCTGTTATTTCTGAAAGGCACTTTGCTACAGTGATATACAGCTCTATGTCACTTCTCTGGTGGAGAAAGGAAAAAAATAAAGAGCCAACCATGTCAAAATATATTGTAACATAACATGTCTCAATGTTCTGTCGAATTATTATTTTTTTATCCCCATGTGCCCATGTTGATGAGAGTTCTATTTTAACCAAACCAAAACATTTATTCAATTTTTATGATCTTAAAGACATCTTTTTCTGTCACTTTATGCATTTGTTTGGCTGGGATTTTCACCCATGCCTATTAAAATGCTGTCACGCCAAATGGATTTGCAACCTCTTTGACAAACTCTCATTTGCAGTCTGGGGGATGGAAAAGGCCAGTCATATGGTGGATAGAGTGCACTGGACCACATAGCCCAGGATCCTCTAGGCATCAGGGCAGAGAGTGTCTCAACTTGTTCTTCTCCTACAGGCATCTGGCAAATAAAATAAAAGGTCTTCCAGCACATTTCCTAGTGCAGCACTGGGGGCCTTGCTTACAGCTTGCTTAAAACTTTGCTTCTAACTATTCAACCTCAATTTAGCTCTTGGAAGCAAACCGGCTGCTAAGTGAGGAATGTGGTGGTTTCTTACTGGCCTTCCCACTCACAGTCTTAAAACATACTCTTGCCTGCTGTGCCAATAATAAAAAAAAATCCCAAACATGAATTGTCAGGAATGTAAATATTTCTTCCCCTCACCCGAATCTTATTTGGCAGCAGCTCGAAAATCTTCCCGGCAGCGTCGTAGAGCAGGCTCCAGAGGTGGTGGGTAGGGCTGGGCAGCTTCATGGCCTGGCTCAGACCTTGCAAGGCACTCTGGCAGAGCTCAGCATCCGAAAGTGGGGAGGTGGCTTGAAAAACTGCCACCATTAAGTTTTCAACAAAAGCCAGGATCTGCTCGTCAGACACATGTTTTATCCAGAGGGGTGCAGACACCAGGAGATACTTCTTAATATTCCGCTAGAAACAACACAGAAGACAAGAGACGTCAACAGGCAGGTCCACATCTGTGCGGCTCAAAATCTGCAGGGCATCACTGTGCTGGAGGATCGTATGAGAGATAAAAGGGTCCGGTTACTTCTTGCTCCTTCATTTTTGCACGGCTTCCCGATGCAACTGGATCACCAGAGCATGCCTCTGTGACTGCTGCAGTCATTTCAGATCAGGCCAGGAAGATTCGTGTGGATATAAGGTATCTGTCAATCCATCTGGGATGAACACCAGGTAAATCTTAGAACTTTTCAGCAAAGGGGGATAAACGCTACTTCAGGAAGTACATGACAGTTGCTATTCAGTTTTAAAAGGTCACATTCCTTAGCAAGAAAAATCCTGAAAAAGGCTCAATGGTGCTGGAAAGACAGTATGAACACAACTATTTGAAACCTAAGCCTTAGAAACATGAGCTGCACAATAACCATACTGAGATAATCTGCAGGTTTTATTAATCAGCAATCAGCTTACTTCCATTAGGAAGAGGAGCTAATGCTAAGAGCTTTGAATAATTAAACCTTAAACTCAGGTTTCATTAGACTTATTTTGAAATTCTAACATTTGATAACTCAGGAATATAGATTTGCCCAGATAAAGCTGGGCAGGACCCCTTACCCTGTCCTATTGCTGAGAACATACAGAGGGTGAGAATTTGGGGTCTGGAGCCTGACCAATCAAGTTCTATCCCAGTTCTTCCACCTACAACTTGTGAAATTCTGGGAAAGTTACTTAACTTTCTCTGGGCCTCCATGTAAGAAATGGGGGAATAGTAATAGCATCCACTCTTTATGAGCTGTGGCAAACATAAATTAGAGAAAATATTTAAAGTACCAGGGTCGCTATGAGACACAGGCAACTCAACAGCAAATAACCATAACCATAACCATAACCATAACCATAACTATACCAAACTATAACAACAACAACCAGGAGCCCCGGTAAGGAGCTCTGGTGGCCTTGACCATTGGGAGCTGTGCTGTTAAAGCAGAGGTGCCAGCAGTTCTTCAGAAAAAAGACAGGCAACCTTGTGCAATTTACCGCTTTAGAAACCCAGTGGAGGGCAGTCATCTTCTTCTACAGAAGGTTGCCCGTGAAAACGGGCTGGGAGGCCCTCAAAATAGGACCAGGGACTAGCTGCCTCCACAAAGTAGAGTCGACCTTAATGACATGCAGGGAAGTGTTTGGGAACTTCCTTTGCTGGCAGAGCATGACATCATCAAGGAGAAGAAACAGCTGCAAACATCCACTAATAACAGGAGTGTGGAATGTAGAAGCATAAGCCTAGGAAAGCTGGAAACAATGGCATGGAGTACATAGAGATTGATCTCTGAGGCCTCTGTGAACTGAAAGACACTGGTATTGGCCATTCTGAATCAAATAACCATATAGACTACCATGCCAGGAGAGACAAAGTGAAAAGAAGTGGCATCACAATCATTGATATAAAGATCTACCCTGTTAGTGAAATGTATCACTGTTAGTGATAATATACTCGTCACATGTTAACTTCATGCTGTACAAAAAGATGAACTGGAGATATAATAAGAATATTTATTTACAAACTTAATTTGTCAATCAAGGTAATTAGAAAAGCTATCATCAAGGCGTATGTCGGGAATAGCACAGGCCTAAAAGAAAAGTGGAAGAATAACTAAAATCTAGAAAAATTCCCAATATTAAGAAAACAAGCTGTTAGCCATGCTTGATATAAAATGAGGTAAAATGATATAATATTAAGAAAACAAGCTGTTAGCCATACTTGATATAAAATGAGAAAAGTGGAAGAATAGCTAAAATCTAGAAAAATTCCCAATATTAAGAAAACAAGCTGTTAGCCATGCTTGATATAAAATGAGATATCACATGGGTTTAGATTTGCCGTTCCACTTACAAGCTCTGGTGGCTCTATGATAAATAACTTAGTGCAACTGCAAAAGTATGCAGTTCGAATCCAGCAGCTGTGGGAGAAATAGGGGTAATCTCCCAAGCAAGTACCTGCCTCTGAAAACCTGCTATCGGTCGGTTCTGCCTCAATGGTATCCAACAACAATTATAGGCTATGAAAAACTTTACCTTTTCATTTATCTGTTTATTTAATCTGTAAAATGGAAATATATCTCTTGGAGGTAAAATAGACACAAATGACTCATTCCTGTATGTTTTCATTCTAAAGTCTTTTTAATGATTTATGTGAAATCTGAAAGCAAAATTACAGATAGAGGAAATATGACTGGTGGCCTGAGGCTGAGGCTGAGAGTAGGGATTCATTGCAAACAGGCCCAATGGCACGTGAGGGGAATTCTTGATAGTGGTTGAAAAATCTGTAAATTTTCCACAACTCCCCAACTGAAATGGATGTATCATCTTATGTGTAAGATATTATCCAATATAGCTATTTAAAAAAAATCCACCTTCCAGGGGTGTTGGGAGATAAGGTTGGTAAATGTTTGGTATCTACAGGCCCAGAACAAGTGCTCAGAGAGTGGGAGCGAGCTGCTCCGAGGACACAAGGAGGTAATGTCCACAGGCGGAGAGAGGATGCAGGCCCAGGAACATCCACCTTTCCTTAGAGAATCAGGAGGAGCATGAATAGTAAACAACACAAACCAGTCAAACAAAACCACTACGTAGGCACTGAAGGAAAGACACTGAAGAAATAAGAACAAGGCAGGGGACTGTTTTTGAAGAATTACAATCTAGAACAGGAAAAGTTCTGGTGGCCTACGAGGTGAGGAGTCGTGCTGCCCACCCAAAGGCAGCAGTTTGAATCCACCAGCTGCTCTGGGGGTGGGGGGGATGCTGGGAAACCTCTTCCCATGTGATTCACAATCTCTAAACACCCACTGGAGGGTCAGCTTGGCTCCAACCTGATGGCAAAGAGTTTGAGTTTTGGTTTTTGAGAACAGAAAAATAACAGGTCAGATCATGGGGAGAATTCAAAGATGAGCTCATGGAACATATTCCATTTGTAAAACACTAAGAAGTTATAGAATGTAAGTTTTCTGACCCAGTCTGAAATGTATTCAAACTATATATACATCTTTACTGATTTCCTATCATTTTTTAAAAATCTCACCCTATTGATCCTTGGTATATAGTATATACCAGCCCCTCACTGTCACAAGCATCAGGCTGAATCACTTCTTCAGCACAGGAACCCCACGTCCTTTAACTTGATGTTCAAAAGCCACCAAACTTTCAAGGTTCACCTTACTTGCTGCCTTCTTTATAAAAGGGAAGGATTATATACAAATGAATCCAGTGCCTTTGGAATTTCTTATTTCTTTGTATCTATGTGAATGATTACCTCTACTATAAAATGAAATAAATATTAGTTCAAATGGTCTCCCAACTTTCTAACTATGATTCTGATAAAGCTGCTCATCAGTTTTTCTGATCATCAATTCGTGTTTTGCAAAATGTAATCTACAATCCTCTACCTTAAGGCTATTGTGAATTTCTAGTGAAATAAAGGCTATAAAGGCCTAAAAGTGTGACTGACACATCAGCTCAATTCATCACCACTGTGCTGGATCTGACTCATAGTTGACTCTCCAATGAGTTCCCAGAAATTGTAAATCCCAGGGGAGAATACGGTTTATCTTTCTCTCTTGGAGTAGCTGGTGGATTTGAACCATCTGCTTTTGGGTTGGCAGCAAAACTCCTTACCGACCAGGCCACTGACGTACTCAAATAACAACTAATACCCAAAGACTATGTCCAGGTTCACAATGAGTTTGGATGGATCATAAAGAAACCAGTGTTCTAGTGCTGTGGTACTCTAGCACACTGCCCAAGCCACCAGCACCTTAGAATGTCCAACATGAATGGTAATGGTTATGGTATGATTCCAAATCTTCCCATCTGCTGGCCTGCTATTATCAAGCCCTCAATTTAGGTAAAATCTCATTTGTTTACTCAGGATTTTGAGAACACAATACACAAATGAATAATAATATCCTCCAAGAGAATTGTAGCTCCTATTGCCCAAAGCCTTAGTTATACGTACGCTCAAGCCATGGATTAGTGGGGGCATCACCCATAAGCCCAGCAGCGCAGCTGCATTCTGGGATGACTGTGCCTGGGTCACCATGATTTCAAGGCACAACTGTTGGATCTCTTCACCTGAAAGAGCAGAAAGGAAAGAAATCTTAGAAGTACAATTACTTTTCTGTCTGTTTTTGAGCCTTTCATGTAGCAAATCAAAGCTGTGTAACTTCTGCTGATAAAACAAAACTTCAGTAAACCAAAAAGTATTCCAAGTGTCCTTTAAGTTATGTGTCCACTAGAGTCAAAGTCCAAAATTGACCTCCAACAGGCAAGGGGCTTGTACTTACCGGGTAGTTTTCTTTTCTAATATTAAGAGAAATCTACAACCTGCGTTATGTAGATGACACAACCCTGTTTGCTGAGACTGGGGAGGACTTGAAACATGTGCTTCAGTGGGTCAAGGACTGCAGCCTTCAGTATAGAATGAAACTTAACATCAAGAAAACAAAGATTCTCACCATTAAGCCAATTGGCAGCATCATGATAGATGGAGAAGAGATTGAGATTGTTAACAATTTCAGCTTGCTTGGTTCCACAATCAACACTTACGGCACCAGCAGTCAGCAAATCAAAAGATGATCTGTATTGAAAAAATTCTGCACAATCTGGAAGGACCTCTCCAGAGTACTGAAGAGCAATGGTATCAGGCTAGAGACTAAGATGCACCTGATCTAGGCCATGAGCATCACAATTACTTGCTGTGCATCAGAAGTCTACACAATGACTAAGGATTATAAAAGAATCATTCATGCCTTTGAGTTGTAGTGCTGGAGAAAAGTACTGAATATACCATGGGGTGCTAAGAGACAAAACAATTCTGTCCTGGAGAAGGTGAAACCAGTCTGCTCCTTGGAGGCAAGGATTCTGAAGCTCTGGCTCACGAACTTTGGGATGTTGCCAGGAGGGACCAGGCCTTGCAGAAAGACATCATACTTGGAAGAGTGGAGAGACAGGGCAGGAGAGGAAGCCCGTCATAAGACGGACTGACTCAGTGAGTAGGGTAATGGGGTTAAGAAGCAATTCCACTACTAGGAATATACTCTAAAGAAATCCGAGCTGCCACCCAAACAGATATATACACACCCATCCCATGTTTACTGCTGCATTATTCACAATAGCAAAGAGATGGAAGCAACCCAAATGCTCATCAACAAATGTGTGGATATAGAAACTATGGTATATTCATACAGTGGAATACTACACAGCACTAAAAACCAAGAAACTCGTAACATATTATACAACCGATGACCCTCTAGGACATCATGCTAAGTGAAATATCTCAGTCACAAAAGGACAAATACTGCATAAGATCCCTGTTATAAAACAGACTTACTAAGAAAAGAAGGGATAAATAATGACTACTGCATATAAGGAATATATAATAAGGCATTATGCATGCCTAAAGGGATATATATTATTTATTTCTGATAACATGGTCTCTTTTAAATCCGGCTTGAATTTCAGACAGTTTTCTATTGCTGTACTGTTTTAGCTGCTTTGAAATATCCTCCAGCAAGATTTTGCTTGCTTATGATAGTAATGATATTATTTGATAATTTCCATATTCAACTGAATAACCTTTATAGCAATGGTAACAAATATTGATCTCTTCCAGTCAGTTGGTCAGATTTCTTGGCACAGCCGGATGAGTATGTCCAAGGCTGCATCTGTTTGTTGGAATATATCATTTGGTACAATAGGTATGTACAACAATTGCCCAGAATAAGTGGGTTATTACAAGGAAGACTTGAGGGAGGGAGGAAATTGTGCAACAATGAGAGACTATATAAAAAAAAAGTGAACTGCAGGAGGGGGAAGGGGGGTAAAATGTGCAACAATGAATGAACAAAAATCAAACTCTTCTGTAACGTTTTGTTAAAAATCACAGCTAAAATAAAAAAATATTTTAAAAATGTAAAAGTAAAAGAAACTGGCTCAAGATGCAGCAGGGTTCAGAGCTGTTGTACACAGTGCCGCAAATAACTAGATGGCACATAAGAAAAACAACAAGAAGCACTCAAAAAGTTCTGGTGGTGGTATAGGCTTGGCTGCTAACTATAAAGTTGGTTGTTTGAACCCATCAGATGCTCCACAGGAGAAAGGTGAGGGAAACTGCTTCTATAATAGAAAAAGTTTACCCAGCTTTCCCTATGGGGAAGTTCTACTCTGTCCAAGTGAGGTGGAATTAACTTGTTGGAATCAGTTTTGTTAGTGATTTTAAGCACTCAAACACTACAATATTGAGAAAATTCTAATAATGAAGCTTCTGTGTTCTATATTTCTCTCCTTTCCACCATGTCACCAGCTGATAAAGAATTTTACTTTGGTCTGGAATGACTTAAAGTTGTAGTCACATTCATTAAGATCACGTCTTTTAAGTAGTTTGATTCACATTCATTAAGATCACGTCTTTTAAGTAGTTTGAGTCTCATCAGCAGAGTTATTTCCCCAGACAGCCCCTTTCTCCTTCTCCTGCCCCTCCTTGAAGATTTTTACTACAACACACATTTTAAATAGATCCCACAGCAGTGAAGGAAGGGCAAGGCAACACCTCTTTCCAATAAAATCTGTGAAAGTGCAGAATGGTAACATGCTACCTTACACAGGGGCTAGGCTCATAGGAGAAAGAATCTAACTAAAAAATTGTGTCATGATAAAAAAAAAATTTTATCATGAAAGGTATCCTTAAAGTGCACAGAAAATATAGTACATAAATCTTTCTATACATAATATGTAAATAAGCTCTCTATTATAAGTAATAGAGTACTTAATAAAACACAGGCACATTTTTACAACATAGTTTAAATTCTTTTCTGTTTCCTTTTAGTGCAGGGGATATGTGCATGAAATGACACTGGTCTGGTGGCCTAGTGGTTAAGGAACCGCCCTGAATAATAAAGACAAAGGGTTAGAATCCATCAGCTGCTCCGTGGTAGAAGGATGGGCAATCTTCTCCCGTGCAATTAACTGCCTCTGAAAACCAGCTGGAGGGTTAGCTCCAACTCGATGGTCCACAACAAAATGCTAACTCCATGCTGTATAGAAAAAGGTTGTTGGAACTGGAGCGTAGGTGGGTATGTCCATGTCTCTACTTTCAATGAGCAGGGTAACGCCCATATCCTAATCTTCTGACTGGTCATGTACATTCCATGGCAAAAATCACTTTTGTGATTAAAGTTAAAGGGCTCAGAGATGGGTGGATTATACTGAATTGTTTGAGTGAGCCCTTAAAAGTACAAAACCTTTCTGGGCTGCAGGGAACCAGAGAGACAGCAGGGAGAGAAGGTCTCCACCTCAAGTTGCAAAGGCTTCTTGCCAAGGACTCTGGCCTGAAAAAGCAAACATATTCTCTAGAAAGTAAATACGGCTCTGCCTGCATCTTGATTTTCGCTCACTAAGACCCATGGTGAACTTCCGACAAACAGAACTATAAGCGTTCTGTCACTGAGAGTAATTAAAACATTGTTAAGTATCACATATGATGTTCCCTTGAAATCAAGACTTCTGGACATATAATATCCATGCCATAAACTCTACTAATTGTATTGTCTTGATTGAGCTAATATGACGTCTCTTTAAACCTTCTGGTTTTCACTCTCAGCTGTTTATAAAGAGATTCCATGAAAGTAACTCAGCCAGCCCACCCATGAAGACAAACTTCAGGACCTCAGAGGTCTATCCAGTCATTAGTGACATGTGACATAGCATCTGACACAGCCTCTATTTTTCTATTTAGATCAGATCCTACAGAGTCTGAAGACCTAAAAACACTTGAAACTTACCAAAGTTTAGTCTCATCAGTGGAGAGAGAAGAGAACCCCAGTTCACAGGAGGGTACTGGTAGTTTTCCCCAATAGATGCTATGGGCTTCATCACCACTTTAAGGAGGGGAGGAGGTACAGACTCTGGACCTGGAACAGAAAGGGAAAAAAAGAAAAATAAGCACCTTCACAGAATAATGAATACAGAGGATGTCAACTTCCCCAAGTTTGAAAGGATTTGTTATCACATTTTCAATTGGGCTAACCCTTCCAACTGGGCTATTAATTCCAATCACATCTGTATATAAACTTACCTTGTGTCCTCTGCTATTTTATCATTTAAAAAAGTTTTTTGGCCACAATTTTTCCTCTTGCTGGGATGGTGCTCTTCCTTACTTCTACCAACCAAAACAAATCAGCTCATTGCCATCAAGTCACAACCAACTCAGCTAATCCTCCAGTAGGTTTACAGAAACTGTAAATTACACGGGAGGAAACTACTCATTTTTCCCCCTCCTGTGCTACAAGCTAGTGGACTTGAAGCACAATGCAACGCCTTACTGACTATTCAACCGGAGCTACGTTACTTCTACCAGAGAGGATAATTACTGACTACTCAGGAACATCCCCTTCCCAGGACTAGACATGACCTAAAATAACCATGGTCATGTTCTGTAACATGTGATATGTTGCCTCTCTGACTCACCAGTCTCTGCAACTGCTGAACTCCAGAGACGGTCCCACAGGCTAATAGCTAATCCATAGACTAAACAAGCCACCTGAAGTATGTGTTCCATTAATATTTTCTGGTTTGGAGGGAAGGGGGGGCAGAAGGGTGTTACAGAGAGCTCGTTGTACTCTTGGCCCAAAGGTGGTGTCTTTGTGGCAGTTCCCCTCTGGAGGTTCGAATCGACCAGTAGCCCCTCAGGAGAAAAAGAGCTAATTTCCTCCCATGTGGTTCATAGGCTCTGAAAACCCACTGGATGGTCAGCTTTGAGTGTTCAACTGTCTTTTCATTTGGAATTGAGAAACTGAGACACTGGAGCAGTTATGAAGGGAACCACAAGATACTGTCAGGAGAGATTGAAATAACCTAATAGTTACATCCAAGCAAAGTAACATGGAGGTCAGAAATGATGTATAGGAAAGGAGAAAATGACTAAGAAGCAGTAGCATAAGCAGTAAAAACAGTAGAATTAGCAAGAAGAAACACATCCACCAGAAAGAGAGGGAGAAGGAAGGAACGGAAGAGGTAAAAAACAAAAACAAAAACAAAACAAAACAAAAAACAGAACTCAACAGGAACTAGAAAAAAATGGGACGAGAGGTAGAAAAGGGAAAATAGCTCCAGAGAAGGAAAAAGCATATAAAGGGAGCTCAGGCAGATTCTGAAAAAAGCAAAACAAAATTAAAAAGAAGTGCAGCTAAAAATAATTTAAAAGAGAAAGAACGAGTTGCTCTTGTTGTAAGGTACTAGTTAGTCAACTACGACTCATATTAACCTTGTGAGTAACAGACTGAAACCCTGTCCTCTCCTGCCTTATCCTCACGATATCCACCACGCTCAAGCCCCCTGCTGCAGTCACTGTGTCAATCCATTTGATTGATGGGCTTCTCTTTTGCTGATCCTCTACTTCTCCAAGTATGATGATGTCTTTTCCCAAGATCTGGCATCTCTCAAAAACATGCTCAAAGTATGAGAGATGATGTGTCTCCATCCTTGCCTCTAAGGAATACTCTGGTTGCAGTTCCTCTAAGACAGATTTATTTATTTTGGCAGCTCATGGTGTATTCAATACTCTTTGTCAACACCACAATTCAAATGCATCAATTCTTCCTTAGTCATTCATTGTCCAACTTTCAGAGGCACAGGAAACCAATGAAAATACTAAGGCTAGCATCAGGTGCACTTTAGTCTTTAAACTGACACTCGTGTCATGTTGGAGAGGTACTTGACAGTGTATTTTTTCCACTGCTACGTGTCTTTTGATTTTCTAACTGCTGTTACCATGTGTGTTGGTTTGGAAACAAGTAAAAGGAAATAACTGATAACTTCAGTCTTGTTTCCATTTATCATGATGTTGCCTATTAGTCTAGTTGGTGGGGATTTTTGTTTACTTGATGCTGAGATGCAATCATGTCGAAGGCTGCAGTGTAGATTTCGATTCAAATCATCTTCACTTTCTGCAATCAAGGTTTTGTCATTTGCAAAAGCAGGTCACTGAGTAGTCTTCCTCCAACTCTAATGCCATATTTTTCTTCACAAAGTCTAGGTTTGTGGTGATTTGATCAGCAAATAGACAGAATATGTATGATGAAGGATACAAACCTAACGGAGTCAGAAATGGAAAATCAACTGTAAAAAGGGCCATGGGGGACAGCTATACCTGACCTTTACCAGCTCCACAAAGGGGATTTGTTCCTGACAACAACACTGCCAACACAGTCAATTCCCATGAGGTCAGACATGTCCCCCACACTCCCATACCTATTTCTACTCAACTCAACACCAATCTTACTACTTTACTTGCCACAAATCTATTGCAATAGGTCACAGACCACACGAAACCATGTTAGGGAAATAAAAAGGCTATAATTCATGTTCGTATCAGAAGACATTGCTCAGTCAGGACAGCTGCTGACATGTACTCACAGGTACCTCAGCCTTTATGAAGTCTCACTGCTTTAGGCCAGTCCTATCAATTACGGCTCCCCTTTCCCCGGTCCTCGAACAAACTTAGGCAAAGGCTTTCAGCTTTGGTTCTCCATGAGGTAGAAATCCCAAGGTCTGCTCTGTCTCATGTTAGGTGTCTGGTTCTATGCTTCTGTTTGCTATGGCTGTTGCTCCTATAGGTAAAGGTCTGGTCCGCACAAGACTCTCTGGCCCAAAGAATGTTCTACATTCTCTTGCTTTTTCATCGCTGGTGGGGAGGATTCTCTAATTCTGTTGCTGGAGGCACTCAATTTAATGGTGAGACTAGCCAATCCCCTTGTGGATTGGCAGGAGTGGCCAATCCCCGTGTGGATAGGCTAATATACCCTATTTGCATGTTCCCACCCATCCACATAGCAAAGTTAGAGTCAATGAGTAGGGAAGCCATTCTGACTAATAAAACCTTAATACCACAAGTCACCAAAGAGGAGAGGGAGAGGTAGTAACAGAAAAGGAAAAACAGCTGCAAAAAAAGGGAGAAACATAAAAAAGGGAAGCAATAGGCAAAGCTTACGGGAAAAGAAGAATAAATAGAAACAGAAACGGGGAGAGCAGAAGCTGAGTCAATCAAAGAACAGCAGCTGCAGAAAAGGAGAAGCTAAACCTGCAGAAGAAACAGAAGGTTCAGCAGAAACGGAATGTGAAAGCACGGAAAAAAGGAGGAACAGGGTAAAATTTGCCTAAGAAATAGAAGGATCAGCACAACTAAAAAGGGGGAAGAAGAGGTGTGGTCAAAAAAAGGAAAAACAGCTGCAAAAGGAGAATTAGCATAAGTGGAAGCAGAGGCGGGGTCAGGAAAAGAAGAGCAGGTGCAAAAAAGGAGAAGCATAAAAAAGGGAAGCAACAGGCAAAATTTACAGGAAAAGAAGAATCAGCAGAAAGTGAAATATGAGAAAGCAGAAGCAGAGTCAGCAGAAAGAACAGCAGCTGCAGAAAAGGAGACGCTGACGGGAAAGAAGCAGCACGGGGAAAAAGGAGAAGCTGACAGGAAAGGAGAAGCAGAAACTAAACCTGCAGGGGAAAAAAGCAAGCTAAAAAAAATTTTAAAAGGAGGAAGTAGAGGTGGAGTCAGAAGAAGAAAAACAGCTGTTAAAATGGAGAAGACATACAAACAGAAAAGGAGAAGTGAAGGCAAAACTTATCTAAGAAACAGAAGGATCAGCAGAAACTAAAAGGGGAAGTAGAGATAGTCACAAGAAGGAAAAAACAGCTGCAAAAAATAGAAAAGAAGCAGCTAAGATGAAACACAGGCGGGATGAGAAAACGAAAAGCAGTTGTAAAAAAGGGAAGCATAAAAAAGGAAACAATAGGCAAAACTTATAGTAAAAGAAGAATAAGCAGAAAGTGAAATACAGGAAAGCAGAAGCAGAGTCAGATAAAGAACAGCAGCTGCAGAAAAGGAGAAGCTTAGGGAAAAAGGAGAATCTGAGAGTAGAGGAGAAGCAGAAGCTAAACCTGAAGAAACAGAAAGTTTAGGAAAAAGTATAAATGAAGAAGTAGAGGCAGTGTCAAAAGAAGAAAAACAGCTGCCAAAATGAAGAAGCACAACAAAAAATAAGCACCAAGAAGAGAAGTACAGGGAAAAGGAGAAGCACTGAGAAAAGAAGAAATAGAGGGGGAAAGGAGAAGCATTGAAAAAAGCAGAAGCACTGAAAAAAGGAGAAGAAAAGGAAAAAGGAGAAGCACTGAGAAAAGGAGAAGTACAGGGAAAAGGAGAAGCACTGAGAAAAGGAGAAATAGAGGGGGAAAGGAGAAGCATTGAAAAAAGCAGAAGCACTGAAAAAAGGAGAAGCACAGGGGAAAGGAGAAACACTGAGAAGAAAAGAAGCCCTGAGAAAAGGAAGCAAAGGAAAAAGGAGAAGCACCGAGAAATGGAGAAGCACAGGGAAAGAGAAGGCGTTCAGAAAAGAAGTGCAGGGGAAAGGGGAAACACTAAGAAAAGGAGAAGCATGGAGAAAAGGAGAAGCTCAGGGGAAAGGAGAAGCACTGAGAAAGGAGAAGAAAAGGAAAAAGGAGAAGCACTGAGAAAAAGAAAAGTACAGAGAAAAGGAGAAGCACTGAGAAGAAAAGAAGCCCTGAGAAAAGGAAGCAAAGGAAAAAGGAGAAGCACCGAGAAAAGGAGAAATAGAGGGGGAAAGGAGAAGCATTGAAAAAAGCAGAAGCACTGAAAAAAGGAGAAGCACTGAGAAAAGGAGAAGCACAGGGAAAAGGAGAAACACTGAGAAGAAAAGAAGCCCTGAGAAAAGGAAGCAAAGGGAAAAGGAGAAGCACTGAGAAATGGAGAAGCACAGGGAAAGAGAAGGCGTTCAGAAAAGGAGAAGTGCAGGGGAAAGGGGAAACACTAAGAAAAGGAGATGCATGGAGAAAAGTAGAAGCTCAGGGGAAATGAGAAGCACAGAGAAAAGGAGAAGCACTGAGAAAAAAAGAAGCCCTGAGA